CATCCGGGCAGAGGTTAGTCTTTTGGCAGCTGGAACTCTAAAGCTAATCAATAGATTTGACGTTCGCTTGTTCAAAGACGCCAAAACTCACAATCTCTCAATTGAGGTATTCCTTTCAAGCCAATTCATCTTTTTATACAATTGCCAACATTCTAGAGATTCGAGAACACTTCCGTTTTAATTACCTGAATTTTGAACAGCTTGTTGACGTTCTCTATGGACCAAAAGTTCGATTTTATTATTTAATTATGCGGGCTCTACCAGTACCCAAACTTTTTGACGACATTTTTTTTGGTTGGTTTTATCTCTGTATGGCTACTTTTTGATGAGTGTAAGATTTCATGACAAAGTATGGTTTTTCATATTGATGAAGAGCTCCACTATTGTGGTTCATATGAAGTAACGCATCGATGCGGCCCTGTCTTCTCGTACAATGAACCACAGGAATGATCATTGCCTATAGATTACTCAGATGGCCTTGATGCTGAATTCTCACCACAAGTTGCAATTCTTCTGAAAAGAGACAAAGCAAATGTCCCTTTCTGGTGATTTTATGAAGTGCAGTTGAATTGCACATCTCGATGCATACGGAAGAACTTTAGATAGTTGGGTTTCCTGGGCTTACACAAACCATTTTCACATACAGAGATCCTCGAGAACACACATTTTGAACTGAATTTCAACATGATGCTGAACGCTGAACAATCTTGCTGTAATTGGAGAAGTGTTTCCTATTTTTAATACCCGTGTGATTTCGAAGACATGAGATATAAATACTTTCACATATCCCTTTCCTTGGTGCATTGATCAATTCATCAACAATACCATTCTACTTTCATTTGATACCCAGTACAATAAAGGATGAGGTTCCTTACATCAACTTTATTCTGCTTGTCAGTTATAGTCAACTTAGCCCTTGGTGCTTGGTCCACTGATGACATCTCAGACTATAAACCAGATATTGATTACACAACCCATAATAAAGGTTATCCTGGTATTATTGAAGCTAAGATCACTCATGTTGAATGGGTTGAAGATTTAACTTATGATTTTACATTACACTTTAAGATTGAGCCTTGGTATGACTATGAAAATACACCAGGTTTGAAGATCATTAGACCAGTCAACTACTTCTTAATTGATCATAACAATGGTGTTCGTTTAATTGACGATCCAAATGATTTCACTTTGGTTTTCAGAGCTCAAGGTACGAGAGATGGTTGTATTGTTTGGGTTCCAGTTATTTCATTCCAATACGATTGGAGAGGACAATCTTTTGATTATATTTCCTCTGATCAATCTATGCAAGGTGATTATCCATTCCAATATTTCCCATATCATTTAGATGGTTCATGTCTTCCACAAACAAGTTCAGAAGTAACTTCATATGAAGGCATTCAAATTCCAACTATTGGTTTTACTCCAACAAGAGCACCTGAGGTTGTCAACCCATCATTTACCATCATTACTCCATCATGGTCTTATACACCAACAACAACAACTTACACTCCAGCGAGACCAATAATTTCATCTTCAAGAATCCAACAAACAACTAGCACAACTTCTCCTTCAAGTTCTGGTCAATCACCTGAAACCCCAGTGGTTTCTACTTCAACACCAGGTCAAACTCCACAGACTCCAGTTGTGTCTACTTCAACACCAGGTCAAACTCCACAGACTCCAGTTGTGTCTACTTCAACACCAGGTCAAACTCCTCAAACTCCAGTTGTGTCTACTTCAACACCAGGTCAAACTCCTCAAACTCCAGTTGTCTCTACTTCAACACCAGGTCAAACTCCTCAAACTCCAGTTGTGTCTACTTCAACACAAGGCACTACCGAGACTCCAGAAACCACAGTCATCACTTTCTCATTCACTCAAGAAGAACCAGAAGAACCAGTCACAACAGTCTTGACATTGACTCCTTCAAATAGTGATGCTTCCGCTCCTGAAGTGACCACATTATCTTTTACTGATGAAAATGATACTGAATCAACTGTTGTTACTTATACACCAACTGGTACTGCCCCAGAAGTTACCACCTTAACTTATTCTCAAACTAATGAAAAACCAGTTGAGCCAGAAATGACCACTTTAACAATCTCAAAAGGTGACGATGAGACTGTTATTACATTCACTCCAACAGCTTCAATTCCAGATGAAAGTGCCACAACTGTTGTTACATTGACGCCAACAAATCCTGATCCTGAAGTTCCTGAATTAACTACTATTGTTATCACTGAATCTGATGGAATTCCAGAGACACAAACTGTTTCTTTTACTGGTGAAACTCCAATTGTTACCACTATTACTCATAGTGCCAGTGGTGAAGATCCTTTACCACCAGTTGTCACCACAATTGATATAAATCCCCTTGGTAATATTGATAGTATGGTTATTGAAATTGAAATGCCTCCAATGGAGCCTGAAACCACCGTATTGACTTTGGAACCAGCATCTTCATCTAATGGTCAATTGATTCCAGATGTTACAACTTTGACTTTTACAAATGAGAATGAAAATCCAGAAACAACTGTGATTACTGTTACTCCATCTGCTGCTACACCAGATACTACTGTTATCACTTATTCACCAACAGAAGAGTTACCAGCAGAGTCAACAACAATCACTTATCCAGATATTTCATCAGATTCAGTTACTGTTATTACTTTCACTCCAACAACTGGAGTTCCAGAAGAACCTGAAACTACTGTTCTTACATTGACTCCATCAGTTAGTGATCCTGAAGTTCTAGAAGTCACCACATTAAGTCTTCCAGATGGTGACACCACTGTTGTTTCAATTCCTCCATCAGCCACTGCTCCAGAAGTTACCACTTTGACATTTACTCCAGAATCTTCAATTCCACCAGTTGTTACAAGTATTACTTTAACTCCAGAAGAATCAGAAACTACTGCTGTGGCACCAGATGTTACAACATTGACATTTCCAGAACCTGGCTCCAACGGTGCTGAAACTCCAGAAACTACTGTCATTACTTTCACTCCAACTAATTCAGATCCTGAAGTTCCAGAAACTACTGTCATTACATTTACACCATCTCCAGAAATTGAAGTTCCAGATACTACTGTTTTGACCTTGTCACCAACAAACCCAGATCCTGAAGTTCCAGAAGTGACTACTTTAACAATTTCTGATGATGACAGTACTGAAACTACTGCTATTACATTCTCTGGTAGTCCTCCAGATGTTTCCACAATTGTTGTTACACCAACTCCAGAAATTCCAACACCAGAAGTCACCACTTTAACATTCCCAGGAGAAACTTTAGAATCAACAACTCTAACATTCCCAGATGAACCAGAAGTTACCACTTTAAGTGTTCCAGGTAATAGTAATGGTATTGTTGTTTCCACTTTGACTTTAGCTGGTGCCCCAACTGTTGTTACATTGACTCCAACTGCTGTTACTCCAGGTGTTACAATCTTGACAATTACACCAGAACAGGAAACTACATTGACTTTTGAAGAACCTGAAACCCCAGAAACTACAGTCATTACATTCACACCATCTCCAGAGATTGAAGTTCCAGAGACAACTGTTTTGACTATCCCTCCTGTTGAAGAACAACCTTCTCAATCAAGTGGATCTGTTCCTTCACCATCTGCTGTTACACCTGAAGTTACCACTTTAACATTTGATGAAGGTGATGAAATCACCGTTGTTACATTGACTCCAAGTGCAACTACTTCAGTTCCAACCACTATTGTTGTTACACCATCTGCTGAAACTCCATCTATTGAAGTTACTACAATTACTTTGAAACCTGAAGAAACTACACTGACTCCAGAAGTTACCACATTAACTTTTACTGAGCCAGGTGAAACCACTTCAGAAACTACTGTGATTACTTTCACTCCAACTAATCCAGGTGAAGAAGGAACCACTGTTGTTACAATTACCCCATCAGAAGAAGAAGAGACTCCATCATCTACTGTTGTTACTTTAACTCCAACAAATCCAGATCCTACAGGTCCAGAAACTACTGTTATCACTTTCCCAGAGACTGATGGTGGTGTTGAATCAACAACTTTAACATTTTCAGGATCTATAGTCACCACTATTACTGAACCAACTGTTGAAGCTGAAACTGAAACTCCAATTGTTACAACATTAACATTCCCACCTAATGAAGATATTGAAACCACGGTGATTACATTCCCAATTACAGAACCAACACAAGAAGTTCCACCAGATATCGTGACAATCATCACACCAACTGGAGAATCAGGAGTTCCAGAAATTGTTACATTGACACATCCATCAATTGTTACATTAACCACAGTTGTTACCTGTACGCCATCAGATTCAAACCCAATCACCACAACAGTTTCATTCCCACCATCATCACCACATTCAACAACTTCTGTTCCAATTGTCATCACACCAACAGGACCAGCTAATGAACCTGAAACTTTCACTTTAACACATGGTACAATTTCTTCAATCACTGTTATTACACCAACAGGTACAGCTCCAATCACCACAACTGTTGAATTCCCAGTTGAAGAACAACCTGGTTCAGAGGCCCCACCACAAGACGTTGAAGTTACAACATTAACTTTTAAAGAACCTGAACAACCAGAAACAACAGTTGTTACATTCACCCCAACTGGAGAAATTCCAAACGTCCAAACAACAATCATCAACTCCGAACCTACAACTTTGACTAACGGTGATGAAACTATCGTGTTGAGTGAACCTGGTACCACTGTGATCACACCTCAAACTGTTGAGCCAATTGTCACTACATTGACATTAAACCCTGATGTTTCTACTCCAGTTTCTGGTGGTACAACTGTTCAAACTCAAGAAGGTGGTACTGTTGTGAGTAGTGTCACTGGAGTGTCTAGTGTCCCTGGTGTGATTAGCTCTTTTGATAATGCTGCTAATAGAGTCATGGGTATGGGAAGTTTTGTTATTGGGTTGTTGTCATTTATTTACCTTATTTGATTGATCACAAAATGTTTTTAATTTTCTTATTCGTTTATTGAGAGACCTCATTTTAGTTCTGAGTGTTTTTTGAATCTTTAATTTTATATGTTTCCATGATAAAAATTGTGATATTATATTAGTAAAACATTTATTGTAGCTGCATTGTCTGTCATTCGTATCGTGTACAGAACCAATTCGCGAATATCTGCCCGAACAATTCCTATCGCAAAAAAAAAAAATCAGAAAAACATCAGATTAAAGTGAAGGCAAAAACATATAATACCATTGGTTATCAAACGGGGAAAAGCGTATAATTTTATACAATGGGTGTTTGTTTAGCAGTTACTAAAGTCATTGGTACCACCACGTTGGGTATCTATACCGGTATCATTACTTCAAATATCACCAATTATGATATTTTAATCCATGTTTTACAAAGTACATCAATTTCAAATTTTAATGAATTTAATTCAAATTTAAAGTCTAAATTACAAAAAAATAGTATCTTGTTGGGATTAATAGGTGGTGTATCATCTTTAGCGTTCCAGTTAAGTTATTTTAAGGCACCATTAAGATCTAAACATCCTTATTTAATTTATGCTTCATTGGTCTTGCCTCTAAGTTCAATAATTTATGGGATTTTAACAAGAGGTGAATTAATTAAATATTTTAAATTGGATGAAGTTATTAATAGTTTTAAACAAAGTGAAGATGGATCTAATGTGAAGAAAGTTAAAGAAAATGTTCGTTCAGAATTGGATAATTCAGTTTATAAAGATTTAGGAGATGATTCAAGTTCGAATGAAGGTGGACAACAAGAGGATGATGAAATTTCTAAAGAAGTTGAAATTCATTTAAACAAGACATCATTGGAACAATTGTTGGGTAAGTTGAATTTAGCTAATAAGATTGTTGGAGGTGTTAGTTTTATTGGATTTGTTATTGCAAGTGTTGGTATTTATGGAGATTTTTGAGCAATAAGGAGTCAGTACTTTGATTGATATATTCTTTTATGGTTAATATGGTATATAAATGATTTGATATTATGAAGAGATGAGTAGCTATGAGTCACGAATGATAGAGTAGCTGTTCTATCATTAATACCTGCAATTGTACCATCGTATGTAAATATTCCAAATGGATTATGCCACATCTGTCACATTGCGATAAGCCGATAAGCCTGTTCAGGGATGAGGAAAGGGCTGGCCGTGGCGATGGGTGAGCTAAGGATTAAGTATCTATTAAGGTATTAAGTATACTATAATCTATATTCTCTATTATCTATAAAGTAAACTATTGTCTATTATCTATAACTTGTTCTTGCTCTTTATTATTCATTAACCATTAACTATGTCTACCTATTATCTTCCCTATTATCTCTGTTTATGTTTCTCCCTTCTTATCGCCTTATCGCAACACGTCACATGGAATTCTCTGGAAGGCCCCAGAAGGCCTCTGCCTAGCCCCCGCCTGGGCCCTGGAGCCCTGCCTAGCCCCTCCGCCTGGCTCCCGTCACGAGTCACTCGCCACTCCCGCCCGGAACATCTCGACGTTTCTTTTGGAGGAGTCATCAGATAAGATACCCAAAATACAAATATCAGCAATTTCGCCACTTGGACGTTCTTTCACCATCAACTTCACCATCATCAGCCATCCCCATTAGCTAGCTAGATTCAAATCCTTTGCCAAAAGGTGTCCAGGTGACATAGAGACAATAGAGAAACAAGAAATAAAAAATGAACACCGTGGAATCCACTACAAACATACAGCCTCCACATACCCTTAACCAGCATCATCAACAAGAACAACAACACCATCACAAGATTGATGAATTTATTGCTTATGAAAACGGTGTCCTCTTAAATAACCGCTATCTTAAACTAAACAACATTCAAGATGGTTCTTATGGGAAAGTTTCCGTTGCTCTTGACACTTATACTAATGAAAAAGTTGCTATAAAATCAATGTACAAGAAAAATAAAGGTGTTTCAGCTATAGCTAGACATGAAATTTCAATTTTGAAAAAACTGGGTCAAACTTGTGAAAATATTTGTCATTTATTAAATCATTTCCAAACTTCAGATTATTATTTTTTAATCTTTGAATATTGTTCAAATGGTGATTTGTATGATTATTTGAAGACCATAAATAACCATTTAAATCCAAATTTTAAAAATGGCTCATTAGTGTTTTTCAAACAATTTATAAAAGAATTGGCAAATGCTATGAATTTTGCTCATTCGAAAGGTATTTATCATCGTGATATTAAACCTGAAAATATCCTTATTGATTCAAAAGGTTCAATTAAATTAACTGATTGGGGGTTAGCCACCGTGGGTTCAAGATGTTTTGATCCATGTATTGGAACTGAAAAATATATGGCTCCTGAAACTTTTTTCAAATTGAAAAAAACTAAAAACCCTGAACATTTGATTTCTTATGATTCAATCAAATCTGATTATTGGTCTTTTGGTATCACAATTTTATATACATTATTTGGTTCATGTCCTTTTAAAATTGCAAATTTAAAAGATGATGGTTTTAAAAGATTTTTACAAGATCCTGAATTTTTATTCAAAATTTATCCAAATTTAACTCAACATGGGTTTGAAATTGTGTTATCATTATTACAAATCAATCCCCAAAATAGATCAATTGATCATTGTTTAGAATTGATTAATAGTTATTTTAATGTTGGTTTAACTTTTGATCAAGAGATTGAACAAGAGGATATTTCATTTGATGAATCATTCATCTTTGGTATGGATGAATCTATTGAACATCATCAACCACAACCACAACCACCTCAACAACAACAACAACAATCATTATCATTATCATTCCCAGAATTCCCACCTTCACTAACTTCATCATTTCCAAATAATTTCTCTTGGGCTGATGAAATTGATCCAAATATGGTTACATTCAACTTTGAACAAGTTAACAATAACCAATTACCTCAAAAATCTCAACAACAACCCCACCAAACTACAACACCAACAATGCTTGGTGGAACACCTTTACAATATCATGATTTTGATTGGTATTAGACTTTAATGACTTAGAATATTGTGTTTTTTTAGTTCCTGTTTTCAATTGTTTTTCTGTTTTATTGTTTTTATTGCACTGCATTTTTTACTAGACCTTATGAAAAAAAACTTATGAAAAAAAAAAGATAATGACCCCAACAATTGCATGATTCATATTACATCTGCATACCTTATTTATTAATGATTCTCATTGAGATGAAATATCCAAGGATATAATACAATGTTAATTATATCCAATTCCAAAAATTGTAGTTTACACTAATCCTAATATCATAAATATATTCATTCCAATGCAAGATTATATACAAATAAATAAAACCACTATTTACAAACCTTCGATCAAACCCTTGCCAATTTACCTAAATCATCATCAATATAATCCTTCTTATCATACATTTCAATATTTTCCACATTATGAACAATAATCTTTTCACAATTTGAATCCAATTCAAAAACAAAAATACCATAAATAATCCTCTCAAACCCGGTACTATCATCATCAACCTTACTAACACCATGATTAAACTCACTCAATTTTTTTTCATCATTCCCCAACGCATGATTCCACAATTTCTTTATATCAAATTTTTCCAAAATGTGACTCCCTTTCAATGCATACCCTGATTTCTTCAATTTTAAATGATTACAATCATCAAGACATGTCCTCCATTTAATTATAATCTTGTCACTTTTTTCAAACATCCCATAATAATTTGATAAATCTCCATTCCTTACGAAATCACCACCTTGGTTCAACTGCGGTTTGATATCTGTTATATGTAGCTTAACTTGAGGATTTAATAAAAAATTAATCAATATGAATTGTGTTGCTTTTAATGTCGTGATATAACTAACTCGACCTTTCAAAATTGGTATATTTGGTGAAACTGTAGGTGAGACCCTTAAGATAATATTTTCAGATAAGTATGACGAGTCTGGTATGGTGTGTAGGGCATTTGGTAATATCTCAGTTAGGTAATCCACCATTTTACCCATGTTGGCCTTTTTATTTTGTATTATTGATGATTCATCATCTTTTGAATTATTATGTGAATTCTTATAGGTTGGTTTGAAAAGTATTAATGAGGTGGATGGGAGGTGCGGTTGGGTTGTTAAATGACGAGTAATTGGTCTGAGTACTCGTAGCATCATATATATTGGGAATTCAATTGAGATCTTGAGATATTGTTTGTGAATATTAGGAAACCTTTTTACACTAGTTTTGATTTATGGAGTTGTGCCTTTTTGTGAGGAATGAATTTCGGGGGTCAAAACACATGCACGTGATCTAGGCCTCGGAATACTTTCATGCCTGCCATTTAATGACGGGTCACTAATTACGTATGTCGAAAACATCGAAAACTTTATACTATTTCGACATTCGAACATTTGAACAGACTTTATAAGTTTGGTTATATTTTTGATTCCATTGGAACAGATCCACATCCAGATCTCATAAATCAAATCTTAAATAGATCGATTGAAAAGACTCAAAAATCGTTTAATACAGCCTTAAATTTCCTGTCAAAGCACCTTGAGTTAAAAAAAACGATCTGCTTGAGCAACATCAATTAAAACTTTATGGGCAAACTTGACATAAAGAACTCCATTCAATATATTCAATTCAGCATTAACCATTCAATCATCACCCACATGATCATAATATAATCATGCCTAGGATCTATGACTCTGGTGATCCGAACTTCCCAAATTTACCACATGATTGGAACTTTGATAGTGAAAGTGATCAAGAATTTTCAGATAGAGAATCAATAAGTTCAAAATCAACTAAAAAATCTCAAAGATATAATTATTTATTTGATAGATCAACTTCAAATATTCCACCAGTTGCTGTCCCAGTACCTGATACTAGCTCAAGTACTGATGCTACAGCTGCTACCACAGGTGCACTCCCTATAAGGAAGAGAAAACATCGTGCAAGAAAGAAGAATAGAAAATATTCAGAATCTGCATATAGTTCCACTGCTGCAAAGAAACGTATTAGTTGGGAACCAGGTATTGATATAAACACAACTGATGTTGTTATAGGTTCAATCGGTTCGGCAATCACAGTTGTTGATTATAGTGAAGGAAGGTATAGAGTTGAGAGAACTAATGTTTATTCAAATATTTTAAACACTATTGAAGTGGAAACTGATAGTGATTTTTATTTACACAAGAATGATTCAATGGAGTATGATATTAAATCAAAGCAAAGCGTTGCTGATTTTAAGAAAATCTTGCAAGTGAAACGTCCTGATTGGGCTCAAGTTCGTTGGATTAATGTTAATGGATTATCATGGGAGGCTATTGCAGCTATAGGGGAACATTATGATTTGCATAGATTGGCTATTGAAGATATGATTGATATCCCACAGAGAACAAAGACAGATATTTATTCGGGTCATTTGTTTGGGGTGCTACCTTTGATTAAATTGGTTAGAACTAAAAAGCATGAACCTAAAGATTTTGATTCTTGGTGGAATAGAATATTGAAGAAAATGGATTTATACAATTATATGGATGAAGAACAAGAAAAAGATGATGATGAAAAATTTAATGATCAACATAAGGAACAAACGCTTGGTGAAAAAATATCGGAATCCCATGAAATGAGAAGATTGAATGAAACTTTTTATCCTGCAAATTATTCCAAAAGAAGATTAAGAATATTGGATGATCATAGACCATTAAGTTATAGAGACTTGTTTGTTGGTGTGGAACAATGTTCATTCTTTATGTTGAAAGAGGAAAATACTGTTATATCATTTTTTGAAAGTTCAGGTGATGATATTGAACAAGCTATATTGGGTCGTATATCCACAGATGAAACTATCCTAAGGACTTCAGGTGATCCTTCAGTATTACTTCAAAGTATAATTGATGCTATAGTGGATATTATATATCCTGTCATCACTGCATATCGTAAAAGATTAAGTGAATTTGAGGTTGACATTTTAACAAATCCTGATATTAAGCATACTCAATCATTACATTTAATGTCTGGAGAGTTATCCAAGTTAAGAAGATCATTATTACCAACCACTGCATTGATTAATTCTTTGAAGGATCATTCTAGTAAAAAATCATCAAGCAGCTCTAAAACTAAACTACAATCAAATGAATTAAGTGCTTCAAATTTCATGAGTTCAGCTGCAGCATTATATCTTGCGGATGTCTCTGATCACACACAAATGTTTACAGATGAAATTGAAGGGATGATTACAAGTATTGAAAACTTAGTTGGTTTAATCTTCAATACCATCTCCACTGAATCAAACAATGCAATGCAACAATTATCATTAGTCACAGTTATTTTCTTACCTTTATCATTTTGGACCGGATATTATGGTATGAATTTCCAATCATTTGGTGATTTAAAGGAAAATGTTAGTTATTATTGGAAAATTGCTATACCTTTCAGTGTTGGGTTATTAATCTTGATTACTTGGAGTTTTATCAAGAAAAGTATTGTTGATTTCAAGAGACAAATGAAGAGAAGAGTGCAAGAGATTAAATTCAATAGAGATTATAAAAAACGTCAAAAATTAAAAGAAAAACGTAAAAGAGCAATTACAAACTCTTTTAATGAGCATCATCATCATCATGACCCTTCGAAAATTGTATAGTATTAATAAAAAATTGCATTCATCTATTTAACTTTTTCAGTTAATTCAGGAACAACTTCAAATAAATCACCAACTAATCCAATATCAGCAACATTAAAAATTGGAGCTTCTTCATCTTTATTAATAGCAACAATAGTTTTAGAATCTTTCATACCTGCTAAATGTTGAATAGCACCCGAAATACCCACTGCAACATATAAATCTGGGGCAACAACTTTACCAGTTTGACCAACTTGTAATGAATTATCAACAAATCCTGAATCGACAGCAGCTCTTGTAGCACCAATACCTGCACCTAATGCATCTGCTAATGGTGTTATTAAAGTTTCGAAGTTTTCTTTTGATTTTAAACCACGACCTCCACTAACTACTTTTTTAGCTGATGATAAATCAGGTCTTTCACTTTTAACTAAATTTTCTGAAACCCATTCAATTTGTAAAGTTTCTAAAGTTGGTGTTATTTCTTCAATTTGATATGAATTTTCAGAAGTTTGACCAATTGGTTCAAATGCTGAAGGTCTTGCAGAAATTAATTTTTTGGAATCATTTGATTTAACAGTAATTAAAGCATTACCTGCATAAATTGGTCTTATAAAAGTTGATGAATCTTCAACTTTAATTATATCAGAAATTGGTTGGACATCTAATAGCGCACCAATTCTTGGTAAGATGTTTTTACCCATTGCAGTTGCTGGTGTAATAAAATGTGTAAAATCATAAGAAGTTTCATTAATTAAATTTGAAATAACTGGTGATAAAAATTCAGGTAAATTATGATCAAATTCTGAATTTGAAGCAATCAAGATTTTATCTAAACCATCAATCTTATTCAATGCACTGGATGCATTTTTAGCATTTGAACCGAATAAAATAGCAGTAATTGGTTGACCAATTTGCTTTGCAGCTGTTAAACTTGATAATGAAGCTGAACTTATAACATCACCTTGAGCTTCAATAAATGCTAAAGTTGAACCGAATCTTTTAGCCGATACGCTAATGTTTCTTAGACTAGCTAATCTTAATGCTCTAAACATTCTCAACACACAAACTTTTCCAATCCACCAGGGATAATTCAATTAAAACAGATCTGTATACACTGTGAAATCACATCTTGACTCTTTCAAATTGAACGAAAATTACACCTCTCATCAAATCCGGGAATTTCTTTAACTATGTAAAGTCACATGATATACCCTCGTAATTACATTATCCCCATCAAAAATTCTTTTCACTTCCAAATTAGGCAGTCTAGAAACCATTTTAGCCCCACCATTACATAATCTCGACGTTTAACCGGAAAGTCGTGGCCTGTCCGATTCTGGTTGACAAAGGCCCGTGAGAAATTGTAAAAAGGTATAAACTTTGAGGTATTCGGACTCGAATTTTGTTGTGTAGTTTGATTATTAGAGTGGGATATACTGACTTGGAGAATAAGATTCAAAGTCATTCATATTTATTACTGTTTGTTGTTTTTGTTTTCATGCTATAGTGTTTTTGTTTTATTTGCATCAGTTCATCATCATCTTGTCCATAACATTCTTTTCATAAACTACAAGGAGAGATCCTCATATCAAACCTAATGAATATTAAATTTGAGATGGATTCAACATATACAGATCTAGCCAATAGGACATTGAGACTACTTGAACGTTCAAATAGTTATAGAATCTTGATATTATTAATAGGTGCCCCAGGTTCAGGAAAATCAACAATTGCCCAAAGAGTTGTTGATATTTTAAATGAAAGACATATACAATACAATCAATCCACCAAGGAGGGGAAGCAGCCAAACATTGATGGTCATTTCCAAAGTGAAGTTAATACAAAACTACCCAGTTATGATGAATCAGTTGAAATAGATGTCGAAGATGAGAATTATACCCCCACATTAAATGTTATTGATCAGACGACTAGTATAGTTAGAGGTCGTGGTGGTGATGATACAGCTATAAAGATCCAAAAGTCCACGGGTGTTGAAAGTTCAATAGACCAATTCGCACAAGTTGTTCCAATGGATGGATTTCATTTACCAAGACGTGTTTTACATCAATTTAAAGATTCCAAGACTGCAATTGCAAGACGTGGTTCACCATTCACGTTTGATTCATCATTAATTGTTCAATTGGTGGAGAATATTAATGAAACGTTACAGATCAAGGCAGAGGGTATAGATGCGCTAGAGACTGCGATTTCTGATATACCTGATATTTATATTCCAAGTTTTAATCATGCGGAACATGATCCAAAACAATTTGGGACTGTTATTCATTCAAGTTCAAGAGTTTTAATAATGGAGGGGTTATATTTATTGTTGAATGAACCTGTTTGGGAAAGAATTCCAAGGATTTTGTATCCAAATATTGAATTTGAACCTATTATAAATACAAAATCTCATAATTTTAACAAGATTGATGATGTTGAAGTTCCAAATGGTAAAAATTATGAACTTTGGAAAATCATAACAGATGAAGATACTATGCTTTATCGTGTTGGTAAAAGACATTTAAATGCAGGTATTGTGAAAACTTTGAAAGAAGGTGAAGATCGTGTTAAGTTTAATGATTTGCCTAATGGGAAATTGGTTTATGCAAAGAGTTTTAAAAGTGATTTGAATATTTTCAGTATTGATGATGAGAATGAAAGTGTTTTATAGAAGGTGAGTATAACGAATATAATATAACGATTAGAAAGATACATCATAGATAAATATTTTCAAAGATCAGTAGAACTTGAGTGTTGTTTGTGTCTGGAAATATCTATAATTTAAAATCTAAGTTGAAATGGGAGTTGAACTACAAGAAATGTGAATTATTATATTCTAACCTTTCTATATTATACCTCAAGCTCTCTGGTCTCCTCTGAACCTTCTTGATTGCAGAAGAGACCCTAAAATTACCAACATCAAAAGCACTACTTCTACCTGGAGGTGAACAATAGTATAAGCCTTCAGGGAGAACACCTTGTTTGCCGATCAAGCTTCACCTTAATCCATTACTTATGATCAGCCAAAGTTTTCAATCATGAGCATTACAAGAAGGAAAAAGATATTAATCATGACAATACTGCAATTGTATAGGTATGCTCCAAACGAAGCTTATGACGCCCTGATGAATTAATCAATATGAAGAGCCACTTTGCAACCTCAAAGATCTACTCATTAACTGAAGTATCAAATATTTGTTAATCGAAATACAGTAGATACAAGATGACTCAACTACAAAGAACAAAGATCTTTTAATTAAACTGGAATAGAAGCACACGACTAGATTCATATGGTTAAGAGACTTTTAACCAATGAAGAATCCGCCATCTGCTCAATCATTGTATTAATTAATAAAATATAAATAATCATAATTAGTTAAAACAAATTAATCATTGTTTCACTTATAATCACAATGTCCATCATGAATCTAATGTTGATGTTTCATCGTCTTTTGAATGTAACGATCGATTGTGGGAATTCCTAATAGCTATCCAATAACGTAGACCTAATCGAGATGTTACAACATGAAATGCATACCTGGGGTATAAACCACTGCTTAAGTTCCAACGAGCATAAAATCAAAGAGTTTTGATCGTGTAATTGAATTAAAAGATGGAAATGAGAATTGAATATTGAATAATTTATACACCAATTAGCCGCCCACCTTAGGATTAGCCGCTGACTATGTTGAGCCAATTAGTAATTAATCTAATCTACGTAATTGTGAATTAATTAAAATGATTTGTATATTTGAACAGTGGAATTCTCTGATGAAGCAAGCACTCTAATCAATGCTCTTCAATCAATGGGAATATCTATTCAATTAAAGAACAGCAACTGGGAACTCTCAGTATACCATATTCACCAGAGTACTGAAAAGCTCAAGTTGCTCAAATAATCATGAACAGGAAAACCAAATCATGTTGGTAGGTCAGACTTGTTTCTTGAGGTTAGTAGCCATTCTGAATTGTACCGCAAAACTCAACCATTACTTACTTTGAACGACTTACATATGGACAAAATATTAACTGCGGATTCAAAAAGCAAAAGCTAGTGTAACACATAAACATATTTTCCAACCACGTAGCTAGTGATTCCTAGATATTTCAAATTGTAACGTGCATTTGAAAAGAAACTCTGAACCCCATTTAGGTAAAAAAAGCAGTTAAAAAATTCCAAATATACCACATTAACAAATACAATGATTAATCTGAGTTTGAACTAAACAGATTTGAAAATTTTGAAAAAAGCAGCTTATTTACACTTGTTATTGTGCAGATTTGAGTTAATGGAGTAATGAATCAATCAATTTGGTGAGGTTGAGAGACGTCAGTATAATTAAACAAAATAATTGAAATCTATGACATTATATTCAACATATGTCTTGTATCTCTTTGCAATCGTAAATGAACAGATGATATAACATCTCTACAGTATATAAAGTACGTAGGTTTTTGATAAAAAAAACAGCACTGAATTGTAAAAGAATCAAGATGAAGCAAGCAGTTGAAATGCTCTTCAATCCAAAGCCTTTATTCAGTTTATTTTATTGAAACCATTTAAACATATCCATCTATAGACGCGATACATCATACAGGGATCCAAGTTTCAAATTCAATTCTATAGAGAGGTTAGTATAAATGAACAGGACCGGATGGTGATGAAATCAGAATGAAAAGCAAGGCCAGTATTTTTATAGCTTATTGTTTATATATATTCCCACATAAGAATGTTTAAAACAATACGGAAACTTTGATTCCTATGATATTTATTGGATATAGGGTACATGGCCAAGCTGTTCAATGGACTCTTATTTGAGAATACACATACAAATCCTTCGGAGATGTTGTCAAAGATTGCTCTCACTGCGACATTTGCAGAAGCATCAAATAATCAAAAGAGACACTGGGAATTTTTCATGGTTATGAACCGATCACTTCATCAGCATAATCTCCTTGTGCCTGATCTCCATATAGCATTCAATTCTATTCCAATTGAAAGTAAATAGTCATTGTTCATTGTTAATAAAGATGATTGTCAGTTGGGAGTTGAATTAAATCAATCACTGTACAATGTACTAAAAACATCACAGCCTGTTCCATAAGTGCATGTGCTTTCATCGAAACCTTGATTCATGTATCAATTTTCATGAGAAGTTAGTGAAGGATAAAATTTAAATTCAACGACGTCGCGCGTACGTCAAAGAAAAAATTACGAGTTTCGCGATTTTTGTTCTTTTGGTGCATTGAGTCTTGAGTCTTGACGTACAATTTGAGATTGTTTAATAGTCATATTAGGGTGGTGATATTTTAATGATTCACATTAGGAAAGCTGTTGAATGCAAATCAAGTAAATATAGTGCCTGTAAAATATGGGACTGACGTTGGCTATACCGACTATGAACGATAATATCTTAATATTTTATGGAAACACTACTACTTCAGATTGAAAAAAAAGTAATCACATTGTATTAAACTGATGATGACATATATCCTTGATGACATTATCTTCAATCAAACTTCAATCAATGTAATGTAATGTATTTGATAATAATCTTTATGATTTCAATCTTGATTAAAAGGTCCAACATCAATCAACAAGACTTTGTGAAATCTTCCAGCAAATATCAAATGAGATAAACAAAACCGTTGGCAATCGACTTCAGATGGAGAACATATCAGCATAGAACTGACAAAGCAAAATCAAAAAAGCTGTCAGATTTCCAGCGAGAACAAACAATCGGATAAAAGATCACTCAAAACTACGTTTGCACTGCTCTAATTTGGAATATCTTAAAAATCAGGTCAAACTGGCTAACAAATCGGTTTGGATTAGTGACAATCATTTTGAAAGCATTGAAAATTTTACCTACGCCAAATAGTTGCAACAACTGCTTAATAAAGAAAGCTAGGAATGACAAAAGTAAAGTAATTAATTGATCAATCCAAATTTTCACCAAACCAAACTTTCGAATCGCGAGATTACTAAAGCAATTACGTAATTAGTGGACATCTATCAATGTTAAGGAAGTAGAAAGAACTTAACTAGTGCCTTGTAATTATAGTCATGAGATAATTGAAATTTCACTTACAATTGATGTTGTTAGGAAAAAAAAATGTATTGAATTTCAAAAGAACCATTGATGAAGCGAAAATGTGGTTTAAACAATATTCTTCAATCAAAGGACTTTATTTCAACTTGAAAGTACTAGAATGTACTTATAATCTTGACAAGACTGATTTTGAAATCATGTTTTTGAATATGATTTGAATATCCATTAATCATAACTCACTATATTGACATGGTGTTAGTAATACGGTGTAATATATTCAACCATTTGACTGAAATTAACATTGATTAACTCACCAAGCACAGTACACCTTATAGGTTGTGAAATAACTAATAAACAAAAATCTGTTGTAGGAGCTAAATAATCCAATGGAACCATGGAACCAGGCTTAAATAGAAGCCAGTGACCAAACTGGGTTATAATAAAACCAACGAGATTAGGAGAGTATAAGACAGTTTCCTTCTTTGTCTCTTCGATGTTTTTTGATGTACGTTACTGCAAGATCACATCATAATTACTGTATAAGCAAACAGGTGAAAATAGAGGTAGAATTTAATCCACAGGCCAGAAATATTGGTTGTCCATAGTTCAAATCTTTTTGAATTAACGTCGACGATAGTTTTTTTATAATTTCTTGAAAATAATTCGCGAATTTCCTGCACGTGATCTGACTATCGTAATTCACGGATTCACGCTAAGACTAATGTTAAATGGTGTATTGTACTTGGGATTGCAGATAGATATTCAGGTACAAGATTGATTGTAATGTACATTATTGTTGTAATGTCTACATCTCTTTTGTTTAATATCAATCCAATTACCCTTTAATAAATGCAATACAAATAATAATATCCTATTGTACAATAAAGTGATACCATAATAATATCATGTTGTTGTTGTCATAAAATAATCATATTCCTCATTTTTTTCTTGTTTTAATCCCCTTGTTCATGTCCAATGTAAATCAAAAATTCAAAAAACAGCATACAATAATAAAAAAAATAATAATATCCATAACCATAATCATAAGTCTCTTTTATACCCACCTCTCCATTCAATTAACATTCAATCTCTTTGCCTCATTATTCAATTTCCGTCTGTTTAATAATGTATTATCATCAAATCTTAGATTGAATCCTTCAATTTCTTTAAACCTAGTGACATTTGTCTTTCTTTTACAATGATAAGGACTCATACTATATTTATGAGTATGCTCATAAGTATAACTATCATCATCATCCTCATCCTCATCTTCATTATCACTATCATCTTCCTCTTCTTCATCATCATCATCACTATCATTCTCCTCCTCTTCATCAAAGTAATCATCAACCAATTTTCTTAAAGGTGTACCAATTCTTTGTATACTAATCCCACAATCTAATGCATTTTTCATAGCTTCTGCACGAGGACTCAATTCCCCCGAACTGACTTTTGGTATAACTTCTTCAAACGTCAACCCCTTTGAACTTTTAAAATGAGGAGCATCAATAGCTGGTGTGATTAACTTCTCTACACCAGTGATCCAAGGATGATTCAATACATCATCTGGGGTATACCTTTTTTTAGGATCCACTGTTAATAAATGAGACACTAAATCTTTAGCCTCTTTAGAAATCTCATCCCACCAAGGTGATAGGAAGCAATAATCACCTCTAGCCACTTTTTTAGTCAATTCTTCAGGATTATTATCATAAAAAGGTGGGAATCCACACAACAAAGTATATAAAACACACCCAACCCCCCACATATCCACAGCTTTGGAATATGCTTCATCTTTGATAATCTCAGGTGCTGTATACGATGCAGTACCACATGGTGTTTTTGTTGTTGCCTGGTCCCATAATATTTTGGATAATCCGAAATCAGCTAATTTAACAACACCAATCTCACCGGAACCAATGTTTGTGATGAATTCACCTTCATCTTTTTTATTTGATTCATCAGATTTTCTAAGTTGAGGAGGTGTAGTGGATGGTTTGTATGGGATTTTATCAAATAATAAATTTTCAGGTTTAATATCACGATGAACAACACCAACTTCTTGATGTAGGTATTTTATAGCCTGGACTATTTGAATGATGACATGTTTTGATAGCAATTCTGAAAAATAAGTTAATTCGACAATCTTGTTGAAAATTTCACCACCATTTAATAATTCCAATATGATAAAACTTTTCGAATCATTATTTATAAAATTTAAAATCGTGACAATGTTTGGATGGTTTAATCTCTTCATTATTGAAACTTCTTTCAACACAGAATCTATTTGAGATTTATTCATTGCTTGTTTTTCAATGATTTTAATAGCAACATGTTTATTCAACTCAATATCAAAAGCTTTGAAAACTTTTGAAAAAGCACCTTCACCAATCTGTTCCTGTATTATATATCTTGGAGATAGTTCCTTATATTGGGGTAATGATGGTTTTTTAGGTTCAGGTGATGAACTTTTATGCCTTATCAAGTTCTTCAGGTTCTTTAAAGGGTTAGTATGGGATCCGTGATATTGGTTTGTTTGTTTTATACTCACCTCAAATACCGGCATTGTTTCTTTGGTTCTAGTATGTGGAATGTAAAGGAACGTATAGAATGGGATCTGGACCGCTATAGCAGTTGATAGGGATAGCTTTTAGATATCTATTCCCTAATAATTCTTTTATAAATTCAAGATTTCAATTTGATTCTGTCTTTTGTTTTGATTTCTCCTGAAATTAGTTCGAAGATCCGTTTTAAAATAAATTTTTTAGTACCTGGAGATTATGTAAGGGATTAGGTAATACTGATGAGGAGAAGTATTACGTAATTTTGATATTCTATTAGTTTATTATTGAGATAGTTTATCATTATTCTATTATTATATTGATCTAGTTATTCTATATTAGTTTATTATTAGATAGTTTATTAATTCATTAGTTCATCAGTCATTCACCCTCACCTTCTCTACTCCATAATCACTCCCTATAACCAAACAACCATCACAATGATCAATACTACTCAAAACTGATCCCTTCATCTCAACAACATCATTCAACCCACCAAACCCATATAATTTATGCCTACTCCCTGTAACATAACAATACCCATCATCAATCTCTAGTATTGCATTATCATATTTATAATCTTCATCATTAGATCTATCAATCCCTCCAAACTCAACCTTTTGTTTACTCTTTATATCAAACTTGATCAATCCTTGATTTAAACAATTTATTAAAACACCACCATTCCGTGCTTTGATTGAAGTTATGGGAGTTTGGAATTGATCAATGTATAATAATCCCATTCTTAAATCATAAGTATATAAATTCCCATCATTTGAACCACATATTAGTAAAAACCCATCATCATCATAACAAACACAATTTATTGAATCCTTGGGGTTGGAATAAGTTTGGATAGGTTTGAATGTAGTTGATTGTTTTAAATCAAATATTTTCAATGATTTATTATCATCAACACTTGATATTAATGAATTATTTAAAAATATGACTTGATTGATCTTGAATGGGTCATCTTTATAAAATTTCCTTATTGGTGCTTCATTTTGTAATAGGTTGTGTATTTGGATATTCGAAGAACATGATAATAATTGATCATCCAAGATATCTATTGAGTTTATAGAGTTATTATGACCTGAATAGACTAATTGGGTATTAATTGAAGGTGATGTTAATTGGATGGTGTTTTTTTGGGTATAGAAAAGATATTGCTCTGTATTGAATTTGATGCTGTTTATATGGGACTCAGTGTGGAAATGGGAATCATAATGAAACTTCATAACAATAAAACAAATTAATCCATTTGACTATTATATTTTGAATGAAGAAAATGCCCTAATATAGATCAAAATAATATGTTATTTCTTAATAGGGTAATCAACATTTTTTTGAATTTTCACTATAAAAGAAAAATTTTCTTTTCTTTTTCTGATCAGAATCCGCTTCATAATCGATTAAGTAAAGATTCGAATTGTAAGTGAATTAAAGAGAATTTCTATGGGTTATTCTTAGATGATGAGCTTAACCTAATCAATATTATTTAATATAGGAAGTGCCGTGTGATTTAATACTCTGATCATAGCTTAGGAATATCTGTATCTGAAGATTTGAATAACCCATGGAAAATTAATCAATCTAATTCAATCAACATATAACTAACATCTAGTCTACATAGATCATCTCATTAATACATATATTCTCTTTATTACTATTCATGTAAACCTCAATGCAAAAAAAACCCAACTCTCTCTCTAAAAATTAACAGCACGATTAACAGGAGCATTTCTCTGAACAACAGTATCATCATCAATCAAATCTCCATTTGTATGATCTCCATTGACAACAGTATCATCGAAATATTCATCATCAATCATCTTTCCCGGTCCTTTCTCCTTTTGTACAATCTCTCCTTCACTGTTGAGGAAGTTCTTCTTCCCTCTATATTTAAACCATAATATACCTAAAAACACTAGGATTAATGGTGTACCTATCCCAACAACAACTCCGATAATGATGTTTTTGTTCTTGCGGGATAAATGACCACTGTTATTTGAACCGTTTGTGGATGTTGAGGATAAGGTTGGTGTTGAGGTCTCTGTGGAATGGGATGTAGAGGTGGTGTGGTCATTACCGTTGGTTATTGTTGTGGTTATTTGGATTATTATTGTGGTTTGGTCGTTTATTGAAGTGGATGCGGATGTTGATGTTGTTATGGAGTCTGATGATGTTGTAGATGAAGATGAGGTTGTTGGATCTGATGATGATGATGGAGAGGTTGAACTTGAAGATGATGAGCTGGATGAGCTTGAACTTGGTGAAGTTGATGAACTTGAACTTGAGCTTGATGAACTTGATTCAAATAAACTTGAACTAGAAGCACTAGCTGTGCTCCACTCGCTTGAACTTGAACTATCAAATAATGAAGTTGATGAACTACTTACAAAACTTGAAGAAAAAGCACTTGATGAAGAAGAACTTGGAATGAAACTTGATGATGATGAAGATGAACTTGAGAAAACACTTGAACTATTATTCCCATTTATATCATCTCTTTTCTCCACAATCTTATTTATTTGAACTTGTTGGGAATTTTTAATAATTTCATTAATTATCTTTGTTGAATCTATTTGATCCCTTTTATCTAAATATTGAGGAAACGAATGTGAATGCCAATGGAAACTATTTATGAAGTAATAAAGGGGTATTATCAACACTATGAACAGTGGTATTGTTATTGATCTGGGAGTTGACATTTGGGATATTCTATTGTGTAACGAATGTAATTATCCCTTGTGGAATGTGATTATGAATCAATGGGTATATGAAAACGGATGTGAATGAAATGAATAAAAAAAGATGGCCCTTGATGATGGTGAGCTATGATGTTGATATTGAGTATTAAACGATGGGATAAGAATAGAATTCTTGTTGATTTGATTTGATTTTAATCTGTTTTTTTAGTTCCTTGTTGAAGATTTATTTTAATCTTTTGGCTGTTTTTTTTTTGTTTCTTTTCAGTTTCTAAAAAAAAATTAAAATTTCGAGAAGAATTTCAGTTGATCAAATTTTACGATGGAATAAATAAAAAGTGATGTGTAATAAAAAGGGAAGAATTAGTTGATAATTAATAGGTTATTAGTTATTAGTTGTTAGTTGTTAGTTGTTAGTTAGTTTTCAATTAGTTATTAATTAGTTAGTTAGTTAGTTATTTAGTTGTTAGTTGGTTACTTTATTGGTTCATTAGTTAATTAGTTAGTTATTGGATTGGTTTATTAGTTCATTACTTAGCTACTCAATTAATTACTCAATTAATCCAAATACATTCAATCCTAAACACTCAATTTAACACTCTCATCACTAATAAATTCCTTATATGGTTCCAAAGCCTTTTTAACATCATTTCCTAAAAATTTAACAACTTGTTCTGGTGCTCTACCAACAAATGTCTTTGGATTCAATAAACTATCCAATTCTTTATGGATTGGTTGGAAAAATTCAGTGTTTTTAATACGTTCAATCAAATCATTATCACCACCTTCTTGTTTAACAACTGCTGCTGCTTGATGACTCAACACTCTGATCTCTTCATGAACTTCTTGTCTACTGGCACCTTTTTCCACCATGGCCATGATAATATTCTCTGTAGCCATAAATGGTAATTCTCCCATGATTCTTCTTTCAATAACTTTTGGATAAACAACTAATCCTGAAGTGATGTTTAACAATGTGGTCAACAAGATATCAGTGGTTAAAAATGCTGAAGGTAATGAGATTCTTCTGATTGCTGAATCATCCAAAGTTCTTTCAAACCATTGAACACTTGCAGTTTGAACAACATCATTATATAAAGAACCAAGATGTCTAGCTAATGAACACACACGTTCACATCTCATTGGATTTCTCTTGTAAGCCATGGCACTTGAACCAATTTGTGATTTTTCAAAAGGTTCTTCAATTTCTTTTAAATTTGCCAATAATCTAACATCTGTACCAAATTTATGTGCAGTTGCTGCAAAACTTGATAATGGTGAAACAACATCAATATCAATCTTTCTTGAATAAGTTTGTCCAGTGACTGGATAATTGATTTCAAATCCTAATAATTCTGTAACTCTTTTATCTAAATCTTCAACTTTATCATGATCACCATGGAATAAAGCCAAGAATGAAGCTTGAGTACCTGTTGTACCCTTAACACCTCTAAGACCAATATCATTTCTTGCTCTAACGAAATTTCTTAAATCCCATAATAATTCTTGAATCCATAAAGTTGCTCTTTTACCCACAGTGGTTAATTGAGCAGGTTGGAAATGGGTCCAACCTAAAACTGGTAAATCTTTATATTCTTCTGCAAATTTACTTAAACGATCAATAACATTAATTAATTTTGGAATTAAAACATCATAAGCATCTCTCAAAAAGATCAAATCAGCATTATCAGTAACAAAACATGAAGTTGCACCTAAATGAATAATACCTGCAGCTTTTGGACAAGTTTCTCCAAAGATATGAACATGAGCCATAACATCATGACGAACAATAGCTTCTTCTTTAGAAGCTGCAACGATTTCTTCATCTGTGATTTCCAAATTTGATGACATTTCTTCTAGGGCTTCAGGTGTAATAACTTCAAGACCTAATTCACGTTCTGCAATTGCTAAATTATACCATAGTTTCCTCCATGTTGAGAATCTGTTTCTTAATGAAAAGATTTTGGACATTTCTTCACTGGCATAACGTGAAGATAATGGTGTGGCATATTTATCATTGGACATTGTTGTTTAATTGATAGTGTGATTGAGTATGGGTTGATAAAACTTTTAGGAGATACTCGTGGGTCTATATATAATTTGGAGATGAGCTTACCCTAATTATCTGTAATGATTTTTTTTTGACTCTGATAAAAGCATTAACATGTCAAAAAAAGACGGGATTTTTTCACTGGAATTGGTTGATAAAAGATGAGATGGATAGGAGTATTTTGTATGGATTACTTAGTTACTAATTCATTCCATTCAATTGTATTCTCGTCATAATCAAGACTCTCTCTAAAGTGAAAAATTCTCTCGAGGCTCAATTATGTCCCACACAAGGTTTGTTGATAATGGCACCACTATGGATAGAAGGATTCACTCTAAAAAACAAATAACCATGGAATCATATACACACTATCAATATCATTATAACCTTCACTATAAATCAAATACAATCCCTAATTTAAATTCCCTATATATTCCCCCTTACAGCCATCAATAATCGTGTCATTATCATTAAGTTACCCTATCTTTCCTTTCCGCGAATTTCGAATCTGAAATGGCCCCTTTTGAACAATTTACATCAAATTGAACCAATATTCAATTCAATTCAATTCAAATTCAATTACATCAGTAGAGTGGAACTCCTGGTACAATCCAATCATGTCTTCGCAACCAAAAGTCATCCAATTCCATCATCAACCAATTCAATCCCATTGTTTTAATCAAGATCGTACAATTTTAGCAATAACTAATGAAACAAATGTGGAAATTTATGATTTAAAACAATCACCACCAAAATTGATTACAATTTTAAAAGATCATGATAAATTAGTCACTGCTGTGGATATTTCAATCCATGGTAGAATCGTTACATGTTCTCAAGATCGTAATGCTATTGTTTGGGAACCTTTATCTGATGGTTCATATAAACCAACTTTAGTATTATTAAGAATTAATAGAGCTGCCACTACAGTTGCATGGTCACCAAATGGATTTAAATTCGCTGTCGGTTCAAGTGCTAGAATCATTAGTGTTTGTTATTTCGAACAAGAAAATGATTGGTGGATCTCAAAACATATTAAAAAACCTTTACGTTCTACAATCTTGTCAGTTTCATGGCATCCAAATAATGTTTTATTAGCTGCCGGTTCTACAGATGGTCATGCAAGAGTGTTTTCAGGGTATATTAAAGGGATTGATACAAAACCTGAACCTAGTTATTGGGGTGAAAAATTACCTTTCCAAACTTTATGTGGTGATTTCATTAGTAGTAATGGTGGTTGGATCCATGATGTTAAATTTAGTCCAAGTGGTGATGTCTTGGGATTTGTTGCTCATGATTCTTCATTAACTATTGTTTATCCAGGTGGTGTTGATAATCCTCCAAAGAGTATTTTAAGTGTAAGTACTTCATTCTTACCTTTTAAATCTCTTGTTTTCAAAAATGAAAATGAAATCATTGCAGCTGGTCATAATTGTCATTTAGTTGTTTTCCAAGGTGATGAATCAAATTGGGTCCAATCAGGTGCCATTGATGATCCAAATAAAAATGATGATAAAACTGTTGGTGAAACAAGTGCCTTGAATATGTTTAAACAATTGGATTTAAAAGGTACTCTATCTGGTAATGGTTCAGGTTTGAAAACTATTCATCAAAATACAATCACTGAATTAAGACCTTATCAAGGTTCTTCTAATGAATTAACTAAAGTTAGTTCTTCAGGTATTGATGGTAGAGTTGTTATCTTTAATGTTTAGAACCTATTTCATAGAACTTTCTGAATTATATGATTCTTGTTGTTGTTGTTCATTAGATTCCATTCCTTCTTGTTGTAAGAATAAACTATAAACCGCACCTTTGAATAATGTAAAGACTAATGATATTTTACTTTCAATCAATTGTAAATTTTCAAGTAATTTTGTTGATGGTTGATTTATTAATTTATTTATAACTTGTGCCAAATGGTTTAGTCTTTTCGCCAAATTTTGGTATTGAATCAAGACTTTTGTCTCTAGTTCTGTTAGCTGGTGTGACTGTTTCGTATAGTCGATAGTTAAAGCTTCTGATTGCATCTTGTTGATTGAAAATTTATCGATTGGTTTTGTTTTGTTTTTAACGTGTTTGTTGTTTTGATTTTTTTCTATTCAACGGATTTTTTTATGGAATTCGCGAAATGTTAAAATTGCAAAACAAGTTCGCGATCGTTTATTGGATCATTTAATCTGTGTGTTAAAGGGAAATTAAATGAAGGTTATAGTTGATTAAAGTCCCTTGAACTTATTTGGTCAATAGGATATACTATTATCCTCGAAACTCCCACCAAAATAACTCAATTCCTGATGGATATAGTCAAAAACTCACCAGATATCCCAATATCCTTCAGATTTGGCTACAATAACCCAATCTTTCAGCTGAAAAGAGGATACCAGTTTTAATAACCCGTAATAAACCAATTCTATTATACCAATCACTCTTATAATCACTCAATCTCTGCTATAAACCCCTACTGCCATCACCCTCCGTGTCACTATAAACTAGGCAAAGCTGTTTTTTTTCCGCAAGCGCAACATCAAAAAACCCGTCAAAAACCTGAAATTTGGTTCAAATTCAACTCTTTTGCTACTTTTAAATGAACAACATTATCACTCAATTCCAATTCAAATAATGTCACAAGTTGTGGATCCTGATCAAAAATCAATATCTAGAGCTCAAACTGGTGTCAAGACCAGAAGAGTTCTTAGAAAGAAACAAACTCCTCCAAAACCTATAAAGAAATATATTTGGCTTTCAGGTCATGGTGCAACTTTAACATTTGGTGCTATTTATTTTGCATTTTATATTGCTAAATATATTTTCAGAAATAAATGGTTTTGGATACCTTGGTTATGTTATAGATTAAGTTTTATTGGTGTTTTGGCATCTTATTCAATTACAGTTTTAACAACTTTTGGTGCTATAATTCCAAATTATTATACATTATTAGCTACTGAAAATTTCCAAAATTTATTATTGGCTTTTGTTTGGTTAATTTCAAGACCGAGTGCTTTTAAATTGGTTCCTTTTTATATTATTTCCATTTTACAATTGAGTGATAGATTTAAAGTTGGTGCAGTTTTGAAAATTCAAGATTCTTTGGTGGATCTAATTACAATTTCTGAAGTTGTTGTATTTGTTGCCCTATTATTTGATACTTTGATCTTTAGAGGTACTTCTGGTTATGCATTGGCTATTTATACAGGTTTTTATTGGTTAAGAATTAATTTCTCTCCATATACTCAATCATTCTTACTCAAAGTTATACATGCAATTGATACCAAAATTATGGCTAAACAATCTCCTGAAATTCAAGCAAAATGGCAAAAGGCTAAAGATTTCGTGGAATTTAGAAGAGAACAAACAAGAAAGGCAATTGCAAAAGGTTTGGACCGTGAACCTGATGTTGTTCCATCTGATGATCATCCAGATGCTGGTAAACCAGTTGGTAAAGCTGAAATGTATCAATTAAAAGGTCAACCAATGCCTGATCCTAAAAAAACAAAACAATTGGCATCTGAAGGTGTTAAAGTTCCTCAAACTAAACCTGTCCCAGAAACTAACTATTTGAAGAAAGCTGATCAAGGTGAAGCCCCAGCAGGTGTTGGTGCTAATGAAAAGGAAACTTATGAAAAAAATTTCAAAGCTGGTGTTATGGCTTCAACTGCAGCTGCTGGTACTGGATTTGCAGCTGGTGCTGCTAGTGAAGGTGCTCGTATTGGTAGACAACAAAATGAGCATCCAACTTCAAAAGTCCCAGCTCAAGAACAACCAAGAGATCATATTCCACCAACTACTGGCTCAAGATCTCCAAGTACACCATCATCCACATCTTCAACTTCTACAGGTGCTCCAAATGTTGCACCTGCAAGTGGTAGAATTCAACCAGGCACAGCTGCATCACCAGTGCAAAGACAACAAGGTTTCAGTAATAATACAACAGATCAAGCCAAATTGAATTTACAACAGCGTGCACAACAAGTTGAAAGACAAGCTCAGGATGCTCGTGCAAATTTGACTGAAATTCAAAGAAGAACTCAAGCTGGTATTGCAAGTACACAAGGTCAATTTCAGCAACAACAACAGCAAGTTCCTCGTGGACCTTAGCAATTCTTTGAGGTCTACCTATCTTATAAACAGAGACTGTATTAAAATTGTTTCCACTCTATTTTTGTATACTTTAATCATGTTAATTTTTGTAATGAAGAAATTTGTAGTTTATTCTCCACCGGCCGAGATGCTTTTGATAAGGATCTCGAGATGTCGATTTCATCGCGATGAGTAACATCAACATCTCAACCATCAACAACAGTAATAACCATCACACACTCGCTATGCCTGGATCAGTACTGGCTACTGCCACTGAATACACTCAGCTACTCCCACAAAACTATGAGCTCGAAGAAGATGAAACAATAGATTCACAAACCATAACAATCACCCAAGGAACAACATCATTACTACCCATGGAGGATCCACCTCATGGTCGTCATTTAGGTTTTTATTCAACAATTGTGCTATTCATCTGTAGGATGATCGGTTCAGGTATCTTTGCTACCCCTGGTGGGATTTATAAAGATGTTGATGGTAATAATTTGTTGTTTTTAATAATTTGGTTGATTGGTGCTGGAATTGCAATGAGTGGGTTGAGTGTCTATCTAGAATTAGGCTCTTTATTACCAAGAAGTGGTGCTACTAAAGTGTTTTTAGAATATTTGTTTCCTTGGCCCCAATATTATTCAAGTTTTATATTTGGAATTTTCAATGTTTTGTTCAATATATCTAGTGGGAATGCTTTAATCTTTGGTCAATATTTTAGATATGCTTTTGGTTTGGAGAATGATGAAATAAAAGCAAGAAATTTGGGCCTAGGATTGTTGGTTTTGACGCTTGCTGCACATGGAAGTTCAAGAAAAATTGGATTATGGATCCAAAATGTTATCGGTGGTGTGAAATTGTTCTTGATTGGGTTAATGATTTTAATTTCAATCTATGTGATGTCATTACCAACTTCAATCACGGGTATTGAAAATCATCTGACATCAGAATTATTGTTTAAATTACCAACTTTAGATAAATCATCATTAACAGTCATTTCATCAGCCATCCTCAGAACTATTTATTCATTTGGTGGATGGACAACACCTCATATGGTTCAAAATGAAATTCGTGATCCAATACGAACTTTGAAAATTGCAGCTCCATTATCAATGATATTTGTCATATTCTCCTATATTTCATTGAATTTAACTTATTTAATTGTCATCCCACCAAAGGAAATCATCAATAGTGGTGAATTGATAGGTGCAATCTTATTCCAAAAATTATTTGGTGAAGTATTGGGAAGAAAAATATTGTCATCAATAATTGCAATAAGTGCTGCAAGTAATTTATTAGTTGTTGTCTATGCAGATTCTTTATTAATTCAATCAATTGCTCGTGAAGGTTTTTTACCATTTTCTGATGCTATAGCTTCAAATTATCCAAATGGTACACCATTATTAGCATTATTGATAAACGTTTCAATTTCTATTGGTGTGTTGTTCTTGCCACAAAATGGTGATATTTACAACTATATTGTCTCTATGCAAGTTTATCCAAATCAATTATTCCATGCTGTGTTATGTATTGGTATATATAAGGCTAGATATAGATTCCCTGAAATCAAAGCACCTATCAAGAGTCCTCATATTGCTGTGATTTTTTGCTTCTTGTCTTCAACAATCATTTTTGCTGCCCCATTCAGCTCACCTTCTACTTTGGTTAAATCTTATTCATTTGGTGGTATTATTTTATTCGCTTTAGGTTCATTGTATTGGTTTGTTAATGTTAAATTATTACCTTGGTTGGGGAATTATAGAGTTGTGAGGAAGAATGTTTACTTGGTTCATGATGGCTTGAAGATTAAGAAATGGATCAAAGTGTACAATAATTAAAAAAAGAATTAAACCTTGTCATTTACATTTTCTTATTTACCCTTTTACTCACATAACACTAACAACTGAAGTACCGTCCTGGAATCTTGTTCTGAAAACTCTATTTGCATTGGTAAACATACCTTCTTTCAATGAAACAATAATAAATTGAGACCCTTTGAATCTCGTCTTGATCAAATGACCAATGTTTTGAGTATGACTTAGATCTAAAGCAGCATCAACTTCATCCAAAATATACATTGGAGCTGGTTTGAATTGTAATAGTGCTAAAATTAATGAAAGGGCAATTAATGATCTTTGACCTCCTGATAATTCAACTAAACTTTCTTTCCAAACTTTACCTAATCTAACCTTAACTTCAAGACCTTCTGTAACATCTTTACCCTCAGGTGGAACTAATTTAGAAAATGATGATGGTAACAAATCTCCAAAGATCTGGCCAAAATCTGTACTAACTTTTTCCCATGTCTTGACTAAGGTATCTCTTTTATATTCATTCAATGTGACAATTGTTTCTTCGATCTTAGATTTATCCTTTTCAATGGTTTTAATCATTTGCTTCAAGGCAGTTTCTTTCTTTTCAACATTATCAATCATACTCATAATATTTGAATTAACTTTACGTTTCATACCTTGGAATCTTTCATTCAATCTTGCAATTTGCTCATGACATTCATCAAGATTGATATTTGGATATTGTTGTATCACGCTATTCACAATGTTTTCATCATTCAACCATGAGTTTTCTTCAACTAATTCTTCAAGATGTTTACCTAATGATTTATAAGAGCCTGCTAGTTTCTCAACTTCATGGGTTAATTTTTGTGAATTTAGTTTAATATCATTAACTTGTTGATTTTTACTCTTCAAAACTTTATTCAATTCTGCAATTTCTTCATTTATGCCAACTTGATTCTCCCTTTCAACATCAATTTGTGCATTGATTTCATCAATCAATTTACCTTGGTCTTGTAATTCTTTTTCAACACTAACAGCTTGAGTTTTCAAATCTTCTATGGTAGCATCAACATCACCAACAGATTCTTTAGCTGTTTGTAATTCACCGCCAAGTTGTTCTAATTCAATTTGAGAAGATTGAAAAGTATCTTCGGCATTGTTTAATTGTTGCTCCAGTTTTGATGCTTCAGCTGCTAATGATCCAACTTCTTTTTCCAATTCTTGTAATTTTGAGCCTCTATTGGAACTAAACTCTTTCATATCGTTCTCAATCTTCGCAATTTCATTATTGATTGATTGGACTAAGCCTTGCTTTTCTTGAACAGCTTCTGTTAATTCTTGAATCTCTTTTTCATTATTTTCAAACTTGTACAAAATTTGACTTGAGGCATTTGTACGCAAGTTCTTTTCAGCCAATTGGATTTGATGGGAAGTTAAACTCAACTCATTTTGAATAGATTTTGTCTTGTCTGACAATTCTTGTTCATTTGAAAGTTCAAATTGAAAGTTTTTCAAATCATTCTGTAAAGATTTCAAATGATTGTTGACTTTGTTGTAATTTTGAATGTTCACCAATACAGATCCATTATTTTTTCTACTACCACCAGATAATGTACCTTCAGGATCATAAACATCACCTTGTAAAGTCACAGATCTAGCTCTAACTTGTGGATGGAAAGTAACCTTCTTGGCAGTATCGGCATCTTCACAAAGAAGCCTTGTACCAAAAATAAACTCCATAGCTCTTGAAACTTCAGCTTCATACCCGATTAAATTTAATGCTAATTCAACTTTTCCAGGACACAGCTCTTTGGCGATATGAACTTGTTGTTGAGATAATGTACGAGCTGCAATTTTGTTCAATGGGATAATAGTAACACGTTTTCTCAATTGACCTCTTTCTAAAAGTTGAGAGCCTGTAACCTCATTATCAACAACAATATTGTATAATCTCCCACCTGCTGCAACTTCTAAAGCAGTAGCAGAAGCAGCTTTATCTTCATCTAAACTGAACAATTGGGCAACAACACCTTTAACAGATCTGGCATTAAAATTTGAAGTTGGTTTGGTGTAAGAAAATTCAAGATTTGCAACTTTACGTTTCAGGTAGTTGACTTCATTCGTAACTTTGTGTAGTTCCCTATTGATTTCAACTTCACGTCTTTTCAAATCTTTGACTTTAGATGGATCGAATCCAACTTTTGTAAGTTGACCTTCCAAATCAGCTTGTTTCTGTTTGAGTTGGTTGATTTCTTGCAAAAATGCTTCATGTTCTTTTTTGGCTTTAGTAAGTTTTGGTTGGTTTGATTTATTATCACTGACCAAATGTTCAACTTTCATTTTGGATTGTTGGATTGAAACATTAGCAGCAGCAAGTTTTTGTTTTTCTTCTTGAAGTTGAGCATTATAACCACCGGATTTGCCTTTTGAGGAAACACCTGTTGTTAAAGTAGATAGCAATTCTTCTTTTTTGGTATGAGTTTCTTTCAGCTCTGATAAACGACTTTTTGCTTGATTATATTCTTGTTCCAAATTTTTATGAGCATTCAATCTCTTTTCAATATCAAGTTCTAAGGTTTGAATTTGGTTAATCAACTTCTGTTTTTTCTTTTCTTCATCCTTCATATTTTCAGAAATAATCCCTTTTGAGGTATTGAGTCTCGTTATTGTTTTAGATAATTCATTTTGTCTGGCTTCAAGGTCTTTCAATTTATTACCCTTTTTAGCTTCTTGTGCTTTACGCTCTTTGAATTTTTCCAAATCTTCAGTTAATGTAGCAATCTCATTGGTTAAACGTTCAATTTCAGATGATGAGTTCTCCATTATAGATTGTTTAGATTCATATTCTTCTTTCAATTTGTAAAATCTTTTAGAGTACTTGGTGAAATCGTGAGCATTGACGACACGAGAAAGCTTTTCCAAATCAGACTGAGTTTGTTGAAATTCTAAAAACATTCTCTTCTCATTTCTCAATTTCTCCAACTTTGGTTCAATTTCTTCAGCTAATAAAGATCTGATTTCTTGTAACTTTGTCTCTTTCTTTGCCATGGTCTTTTCAGCTTTATCTTTACGATCTTCAAACATCTTTGTACCAGCGGCTTCTTCAATTAATGATAAAATCTCAGCTGGTTTCATATTCAAAACTTTAGTAATCTTACCTTGCATAATCAAGAAATTTGGGTTATTGATATTTAATTGAACAGATTGAAATAATTGTAAAACAGCTTGTTGTTGAGCTCTATGACCATTAATCAAGTATTTACTAGTACCACCTAGCACAATCTGTCTAGTAACTGAGATTTTGGGAACTGATTCAAACCCAATTGGTGATTTTGCAGTATCATTATTATCAAAAACGATTGTAACACTAGCTTTAGTGACACCAGCTTGACCTCTTTTATAAATCAAATCTTGTAAGTTTGAAGCTCTCACTGTAGACATGGACGATATACCAAGGACAAAACAGATTGCATCTAAAATATTTGATTTACCTGACCCATTAAGACCTGTGATCGCGTTAAACTGGGCGTCCCAACCAGAGATCACTGTTCTGGTCGCGTATGACTTGAACCCATCGATGATTAGTTCTTCCACTCTCATCTTGAACACCTATTTCCAGTCAAAGGATGGAACTTGTCGACGCGTTTAAGATCTGTGGCAGTAAAAAGTTAAAACACTAGTTTGTTTACGCATCTTGTTTATCATTTGTTTACTTTTCGTGAATCAGAGAAATCCAAAATTGGTGTTGGGATGTTGGTACTGGTTTCTTGTAACCATGGCAACAACAGCTTTGGGAAAGGTTTCGGTTTTATCGTTAACAAAAGAGGTTCAAATTAGGTGTGTAATTAGCATTGCCAATTAAATTAAGCCCATTAATTGTTCTTACTTAAATTGAAGGAGAATGGCCAAATATTCTTCATCTGTCTAATAGCCCTTGTGTTAACAATTATAGATTGATTCGATCATGGCTAACCAAAAACCATACTCAAAGCTGAACTTTATATCGTTTGCGCTAACATGCTTCTTTAACGTTTCATTCATGGTCTTTATGAGTTCCACTCAATCGTTCTTTTTAACGGATGTTTTAGGTATTTCAACAAAGGTTGGTGATTATATCGGTACATTAGGTTTTGCTGATGAGTTGATGTCTATTTCATTAAGTCCATTTTTGGGTGCTTTGAGTGATAAGATTGGTGCTAAGCATATTCAAGTTTGTGGTGTTTTCATCGTTGGTTTATCATTTTTCATATTAACTTTAGCTAAAAATGTTTATCCTGATATGTTATTGATTAGATTATTCTTTGCTATCGGTGCTACAGCTTCTGGATCCATGATGACTGCTTTATTGGCAGAGTTATCATCATCAGGTTTTGAATTGAGCTCATTATTCAAATTCAATAAAGATCTAGAGTATTATGATCCTATTGAACAACATGAACCTCAGGAAATTAATGAAGAAGAAGCAAATAAGGCTCATAGTAAAAGAAATGGTAAATTAACATCGGTTATTGGTATCTCATCAGGCCTTGGTGCATTATTTGCAGTTTCTGCTTATTTACCACTACCAAATAAATTTGGTCAAAGGGAACCACCTGCACAAGCCTTGAAACATTCATATTTTGTTGTTGGAGCAATTGCGTTGACCTCTTCAATTTTCTTGTCATATGGGTTGTTTTCATCAAAGAATTTCAAGATCCCATTCTTGTCAAAATATCTATCCCCATATGATGATGTGTTAGATGATATTGAAGAAGAGGAACATGAAGTTCATCTTGAACAACAAAAACATACATATTTTGGACTATTGAAACTAGGGTTCTCGGAAGCTAAAGATCCAAAGATTGCATTAGCTTATCTGGGAGGGTTTCTTTCTCGATCAACAACTATTGTCAGTGCTGTTTTTCTTCCATTATATGTTAATAAATACTATTATAAAGAAGGTATCTGTTCCACCGCAGATAGATCAAGTTGCAGAGAGGCCTATATTCAAGCAGCTATTCTTACAGGTATTGTCCATATGGTTTCATTAATATTTGCCCCAATATTTGGTTTCACAGCTGATAAATTTGGCCGTAAAAACTCTATGATTATATCATGTATCTTTGGTATAGTTAGCTCATTTGGTTTTGCATTTTCTAAAAGCCCAAAAAGTGCTGCTGCTGTTGTTTTCAGTTGTTTCCTTGGTGCCAGTCAAATAGGAATTATCTTAACTTCAATGTCGTTATGTACAGATAAGAAAAGAGCGCATAATGGATCGATTTCAGGTGTTTATTCATTAGTTGGTGGTATTGGTATCTTGATCATCTCCAAAGTTGGTGGTTATTCAGCTGATTTTTGGATTGGTGCGCCATTCATTATTCTTGGTGGATTTCAGATAATTACAATTGTTGCTTCACTTTACGCTGGAGGTAAACTAGATTTCCTGCTTTCAAAATTTTCTGCAAGATTACAACTACCAGAGGATGAAGATGCTTAGTTAGATAATGAGTTCGATGTGTGTAAATACAAATAAACAATTTAAGAACAATTTTAAAGTACATTAAGATGATATTTTATTTTCAAAAAACAAAGAAGAAAAAGCCCCCAATAATAAATTCGTGTATATAATAATGAAATTTGTTACATAACTTAATCTTGAGTTTTTTGAGAACCACGTAACAAACCAGTTCTTCTAGCAGCAATCAAACCAGCCTTTTGACCTGGAACAGCACCTCTTGAAATGGTTGAAGCTTTACCAATATGTTGATGGTTACCACCACCGTGAGGATGGTCAACTGGATTCATAGCAACACCACGAGTTTTTGGCCATGAGTTACGTTTAACTCTGTATTTGTGGAAGGCTCTACCAGCTTTCAATAATGGTTTATCAACACGACCACCACCGGCAATAACACCAATGACACCTCTGGCATCTGATGAAACAATTTTTTTAGCACCAGATGGTAATTTAATTCTGGTTTTGTTTTCGTCTGGGTTGTGACCAATAACGATAACGTAGTTACCAGAAGTTCTGGCAACAGCACCACGATCACCTGGTTTTTCTTCAACGTTTGAAACAATAGTACCTTCTGGGACTGAACCTAATGGTAAAACGTTACCAACGTTTAATGAAGCCTTTTTACCAGCGTAGATAAATTGACCAGTGTAAACACCTTCGTTAGCAATGAAAGTTTCTTCACGTAATTTGTATTTATATGGATCACGGAAAACAACTTTAGCTAATGGGGCACCTCTACCAGCATCGTGGATGATTTGTTTGACAACACCACGGATGTAACCATGACGTTCAGCATAATCTAAGGTTCTTAGTTTAGCAGCACCTTCTCTTAATCTGGTGTGAGCGGTGAAGATTGAACCAGCACCTTTTCTTTGGTTACGAATAACTCTACCTATAGGAAAAAATTGTTAGTATACTGTCTTAGGCTTTGAAAATGACAACATGGACTAAAATAACGATCAATATTTCTAATAAGTTGACAAATGATTCTCTTTGTGTGTATCTTTCCATTTCCTTTGTGTTCTTGTACGATTTGTTCTACTCTTACTCCATTATCCAGTACAAATCTATAATTTTTCACCTCTTTCAAATCTGGCAAACTTCAAACTCTGTATATCTGACTCTTGATAATTTTACTACTCTTGATAATATTGATCTCCTTCTCATCCATATCTATGTCTTTATATCATCACATACCCATTGTTGATTATATTTGGTTGGTGTTTTCAATACTCGTTACAACTAAAGTTGAGTTTGAGTTACTCTTTTTCAAGTTTTCACTAGAGGGTTTGCAAAATTGTTTTCGCAAAGTGCTGCGTAACCTTTCTCGATCGGGCACTGAAATGAGTGGGACTGCTCTGCGAACACATCCACACACCACATTGTGGCATAAAATCTGGACCATGTGTAAATCTCAGAACAGAAATCTCTGGACCAGATCAGGTGTACCTTTGGTGGTTCAAAGCCCTGGTCACTTATAGTGCTGCCAGATCACCATGTGTAAATTTATCACTACAATAAACAACATTTAGTTTAATTATATTTACGTGCATTCAATTCAAAAGTTAAGACAAAAAGCATGCAATTTTTACACTAGGTCTGATATCTTCAATAAGTTAGATTGGATCATTAATCGTTAAGCTTCAACAGTTTGCACAGCTGGTTTCTCATTTTCAAAACCTTCAAAACCTTCATCATCTTCTTGAACAACATTAATTGAATCACGATGGTTATCAGCTTCAGACTTTTCAACCGCTGCTTGGGCTGCTGCATTGGCTTCTTGCTCTAGCTTCTCATTTTTCTTTTGACGAGCTGCTGCTGCCTTTTTGACATCTTCAATTTTTGAAACATAAGCTGCACGGACAATAACAGGCTTACCTTTGACCTTCTCATTTGATAAAGCTTCAATTGCTTTAGGAACACCATCTTCAACAGTTAAGGTAACTAAGGCAGAAACATATCTTTGATGGAAACGCAATGGGTGTTGCTTTTTGCTGAAACGATTCTTGAAGATATAAACATCAGTTGGAGCATAATCATGAAAGAATAAACGAAGATCACCATCAGTTGCTTTTGGAGAAAGACGGCTTATGAAGACTGTATCTTTGGAAACTTCTCTCTCTTCAACATTTGGGGACTGAGATTTAGTTTCTTCAGATTCACCAGAAGCTTCTTCACAACACAGAGCCGGTTCATCTCCTTCAATATTATCTGATGCTTCTTGTTGTTCATTACCTTCTGCAGCACCAGTATCAAGTGTGGCTTCTTCTTCATCAATCTTTTCTGGGACTGATTTGACATCATCTTTTGATTTACCAAATGGACCTCTTCTAGATCTTGATCTTTTGATAACTTTATTACCTGGTGAATATTCAACAAAAGATTTAACACGAAGTGCACGCCCATCAACAAACTTACCATTGATTTCAGTTTTGGCCAGTTCTGCATCTTCTTCAGAAGTGAATTCAATATAGGCAATACCTAAAGATTTCTGATGAAATGATTTAAACCCTCTGACAGTTTGACTTGGAACAATAATAGAGATACTAAACATGTTAGCTGTTAGCCTAGCGCTTAAAGAAACACCATCAATTGGATTAATGTTGAAGCAAATATGGGTATTTGTATCTTACATTTCATATTCCTTCAATAAATCTTTCAAATCATCTTCAGTTGTTTGATAACTAACATTGGAGATATAAAGACGTTTTGGATTAACTTTAGCACCTTCATATTGTTCCTCATTGACAGTAGCAGTAGTTAATGGTTCATCAACCGTTCCATCAACTGAAACCACAGCGGTATTACCAACCAATTCAGATGGAGTTGCGCTTAAAAGAGCTTCTGGGGCGCTTGGACTAATACTTTCTGATTCTGGCATCATTGACGTTCTTAAATCAATAAAATAACGTCTTCACTGCGATAACGATGCATTCTAAAAGATCAAATAGAGAATTACAATTCAAAGGTTTGTCAATGATTTTTAAAGAGAACGTTTTACGGCGGCTAATTATGGTTTACCACAAAACCAAAATTAAAAAATCAAGATGACAGAACATGGGCACTAATAAGGACATTGAATCATCTCTTAATTGGTTATTCCGTAATCTTAGATCTGCTTTATCCTCTTATTCCTCTCCTTAATATCTTACAATCCTTTGGACTTTATTCTTTTTTAATTTTTCTTAACCATTAAAATGATATACATAAAAACTTCAACTGTGAACACATCAAAAGCCAAAAAACTATAATTTAATTAAACAACCATCTGTATTTGTAAATGAAATGAATTTAATAAATCTATTTTTCAGCACGAGCAGCAGCTAAAGCTTTAGCAGTTCCGTGTAAAGCATGTTTGTGGTTACGACGGAATTTTGGATCAACACCTTTTAATGAAGGGTATCTGTGAGTCTTTGGTTTTTTGATACCGTTTCTGTGGGCTTTTCTGGTTTGGTTATGGTTGGTATGATTCTTTGATTTAGACATTTCTATAATTGTTAGTTATGTTCTTAACCTTTTTATGTACGTTGTCTTTGGAATTGGGAGATGAACACTTATTGGAAGTAGACTCAACATTAATATGGTACTCTACGTATAATGTCTTTGATTTCTCATTCTGTGTGGTCATTACGACGTCCTGATCATTTAAGCAAAGGTCTTGAATCTCTTCATTATTGAAATGGCCCCTCTTTCTCTGACATTCATTCTTCAGACACAATACTGTGCTTTCTGTTCTCTCTCTTCTATGATATTCATCTCTGATCCAGTGACACTAGTTGTGTACTTACTTAACCGTAGTTTTGTTGATGTATATAAGCTTCTTTTAAAACAGTGTCAGTTTGGTTTTCAAGTTATTTTCATTAATTTTGACCAAAGGACTGGCCTGCAAAGCGCGTGTGCTGTCGCTACCAATCTTCTTTTTTTTTCAGTGACGAAAATAGAAGAGGGCCATAGAGTGCGATTACCGATTTCTGGGATTTATCACTGGGCAACACCGATTTCGTTAGGTTTGTTTGGATTTTTCTGCTGTGACTGTTGAGAAGTCATGTGATGTCAGGTGACATCGACCACATTAGGGCTTTACTAAACTTTAATGTTTTAGATCAAAACAACTGATATGATTAGATTGTGCCAGCATACTACTACCGATAACAATAAGTTACTTTGCGATTGGAACCAATGTCTAAGATGATTAGTTAAATAGGTGATTGGTTACATTTGCAATGGCCTATTCGCAGGACTATTGGCTAACAATATAGTGATCAAGATCCAATCAACCTTTCTACATCAGTATTATCTGAACATAAATCATTATATTTTTCTTTTCTAATTGTGATTTTATGAATGTTTGAGACCAAAAGAATTGAAAAGCTCTTCAGTCCTCAAGGTATGAATATTATATACATTAAGTGTATTTTTTGGATTTTCTGAATATAGTTTTGTGATAAATAATTGAAACTTGGAATGTGTAATAGATAAATCTAGTGATAAAAATAATGATAAACAACTGTTGAAACTGATCCCCCTAATACTTCGAAACTAAAAGTGATCTATTTTAATTTGTAGAATAATCTTGGAGCGGTACAGTCATTAACACAATGCTGTAGATGGAAGAATTCTTCAACACAATCTTCTTTGTAGTCTTTATCTTCATAACCTTCTTCTTCTTGTTCTTTGGTGACTCTTTCAACACATTCAGCGTAATGGTGAACATGAGGAACACAAGCTGGGGTTTCTTCACAAGAAGATCTGATAACATCTAATGGATCACCACCTTCTTCTTCATCTTCGTCATCTTCATCTTCATCTTCGTCTTCTTCTTCTTCTTCCTCCTCTTCTTCCTATAACAAACAATAGGTTAGTAATTCAGTCAATCAATGAAAACAGAGATAGTAGATCATAGTCTTTAGGTTAGCAGTCTCCAAATGTACTAATAACCCAATATTTATGCATTCACTACTTCTCTCTCCAGTACATACATCATTTTCAGCTTTGGCTAAAGTTGGGACGAAAGCATCTTTTAGCTCATCAAGAGCATCGGCAATGAGGGCAAGCATCGTTACGTTGGTGATGTTGGTTGGTTGACGTTGGTTTCAATGTTTACCACTTTGTTTTCAACGGTTTCAATTTTTTTATGAGATGATTTTTTGTAAAGTGTTTTTCATAGCTTTTCATTGGCTCAAATTCGCGAAATCTTGTGAAAAAAAAATACAGACGATAAAGTACAAGATATTAATCATAATTAAACCCAAAAAAAACCACTCTTCATTACTATACAATGTTTATATAAATTAATTTTCGTTAACTCTAAGCTTTTTCAGCAGCTTTGGCTCTTTTAGAAGCCTTGGCTTGGGATTTAGCACCCAAGATATGACCACCCCAGTGTTTTCTGTTTTCTTCAAACTTGTCATTAAAGTTAGCAGTAACAGTTGAAACTAAAGTAGCTAAAGCAGATTCATCTTCTGGTTGAACTTCAGTTAAGGCAGCAACAGCTGAAGTTTTCAAATGGACTAAAGTACCTAATCTAGCTTTACCTTTCACAATAGCATATGGAATTCCTAATTTTCTGCATAAAGCTGGTAAAAAGATAACTAATTCAATTGGGTCAACATCGTTGGCAATTAAAACTAATTTAGCTTTTTTGTTTTCAATTAAGGAAACAACATGGTTTAAACCATATTTAACAACAAATGGTTTTGGAGAAGCATCTTGTTTAGATTTACCTTCAGCAATAGCGGCAGCTTCTTTAGTTAATCTTTCTTTCTTTTGAGCAGCAGTTTCTGGTCTGTATTTGTTGAATAATTTGAAAGCTTGAGCAGCAGTGTTTCTATCCAAAGTGTGTTGGAATTGAGCAATAGCTGGAGGAACTTTTAATCTCATAGATAAGACTTTTCTTTGTCTTTGTAATCTAACATATTCTGGCCATTTAACAAATCTTGACAAGTTTCTTTTTGGTTGAATGTTTTGACCAATACCAAATTTCTTTGGTTTGGATTCAGCTAATGGGTTTTTAGAACCACTTGAAGCTTTTTTGTTCTTAGTAGCGAATGGAGCTGGAGCAACTTTTTTAGCAGGCTGTATCATTGAGATTTGTTAGTTCAACTAATTCTAAATAGAATCATGAAAGCTAACTTGAACACATCTCTACAGTAATTTTAATATTCATTCAAATAATTAAAAAAACTCAGCCTGTGCAACAAGGAGATTGTATGCACATTCATTAAAAATGGTGGAAATCAAAAAGCCTTCATCAACAAAGTCCACAAGTTGAATATAATCCATTAGCAATAAGGGTTAATTCTTATCTGAAAGATATTTAACAATGCTTCTTCCCTTGAAAAATGAATTAAAGAGTAAAACTTCTTTAATGGCAAATTGATGTAAAAAAAATTTCACACCTTTATAATAGAACATCGTCAACACCCCAAGTGCAGTACCGTTGTAGATATGCGCAAGGAGCTCCATTAATGTCTTTTTTTTCTGTCCCTAAGGGCAATGAACACTTACAGCCATCTTTGTAATTATAATTTGGTATCAAATAAGTTTGTTGATGATTTGGAAAAGATGAAGGAGAATTGAAGAAGTTGAAAATTTTTTTAACTCTTCCCATTTGTTTGAAATGGTTTGTCCACTCAAAATTCAATCGGTTGGAACACATTTGACTGTCATTTTCAGTAGTGACAATATCAGATGTATAACTTGAGTTAGGTTTTAACTGTTTAAAGAAGACTGTGTTAAAGTTGTTTTGATATCAGAGGTTATCTTGAAGCTAACCAAGTGGAAAAGATATTACGAAGGTCAATTTCCAGAAAAAATATGGTATATTGATAATAAATAATACATCAAAAGGTCAAATCTAGTGGATAGTTGAGTTGTGGAGCATAATGTTTCGGCAGTTTGAGCAACTGAATAATGAATCCAAGACTCCAATGCGCCTTAAACAATAACACATGTATACCAAATACCATCTTTAACAAATCTTTCTTTGTCTTCTTGGGTTTCAGTTGGAGCAGCAGTACTGAAGATAGTTGATGGTTGCATTTTGTGAAATTATTGAGTAGTCTTCCTTGATATTGGTGGTAAAGATAATGAACTAAAACAAAAGAGTTGACAAGAATGAAATCGATTTCTACTTCATTTATAGTCTTTTGGTTAAATCAAATCAAATATTTGACATCAAATGGGTGTAGTTGTGAACCTTCCTCTTTTGGAAGACACAAAGAAATTTGGCTATAGATTTGAAACATGAACGATTAACGATTTTGTGTCAAATATGTTTTATCACCTTATATGACGACAGGTAAGATTCTCTTACTTTTCAAACATCAATACGCTAAATTGAATAATCATATATTTCTTTCATTTGTTCGAAATTGGAATGTTTGAATCAATTCTGGGACGCAATATTATCTTCACCGGTGCGAAATTGTATGTGGAATGCGCGCAACGTCTCTATCTCTTATTCAAATCATGAAAGTACGCTGCATGATTCACTGACTTTAACTTGAATAAATAGCATTTGTAAAGGTTAATTGGCTTATCATACTACCCATGAGCATAATAATGAATTTATATGAAATTTTCGAAATTCTTCAAATTATAAATTTTACCAACCAGCTAAAATTATTTTAAAATTCAAATTCAATCAACACAAAATTCAAAATTCAAAAAACTTTTCAAAACCAACTGAAAACTTGCAATATGTAATATAATAGTTACTTTTACTAATTAATGTAGTATTAAATTGAAATATTCCAGAAAGATCTTAAGTTTTGTTAAGTTAAAATAGAAGTCACGTGACTTGGAATATAATATATTCTATCCACGAACATAAGAAATACGATAAAATCGTGAAACAAACTCCCAAAAATGAAACTTGTGAGCTTAAGAGGATCTGAAACTCTCTTCTGCTACCACATTTCAATCAAATTAGGCTAAAAGCTGGTAATTTAGACCGTATTAAATACAATTTTGTTCGCGAAAATCCAAACGCGACACGATCATGAAGCCACAAGAAATTACGAAATGCAACCCATAATTTAACAAAGATTATCATCAATCATCTCTTTCAATTGAACTGAACATTGGATCATACAATGTCAGATCAAGTTAACCCTGACAGACCACAAAGAAGAAATGGGCCTGATCAATCATTGTCACAACCAGCAGCTAAGAAAAGGAAAAATGTCATCAATATCTTATCGTTACCAGAGGAAGCATTAATCAAAATTGCATCATTCTTAACTCAGGAAGATACCTTATCATTATTATATTCAAACAAGGCTTTCGAAAGAGCATGTAAGACTAGGCTTTATAAGAAGATAATCATCTGTGAAAAATATCAAGATCATTATTTTTTTGATATGTGTAATGAAAAAAAAATTACAATTTTATCAGGTTGGGATAATATTTTAAATTTTTTCAGAATGTTTCATATGAAAAGTTTTAATGATTCACCTATTGATATATCTAAATGTGTTGAAGATATTACAAGTTATAATTTTTTAGATCGTGGACGTGTTGATTCTTATAAAGTTTTATCTCATTCAGATTTAACCACAATTTTAAATTTAAGACAATTTTGGAATACTGTTATTAACGGATTTGATAATTTGAAAGTGCTTGTCATTCCAAATTTACCATTGGAGAAAATCTTCTGTCTTAGTCCAAAACTTCGATACAATTTGCAAAAAATATCAATCTGTACAGAAGATGATGGTGCTTTAGGCTCGTTAGATAAATATGATATTAAACTACCAAGTTTAAAGGTATTGAAACTAAACTTTGGAAAATCACTCGAGAAAGCAAAAAGTGCCATTGATGTGGTGTTAAAAGTTATAACAAGTGATCAAATGCAAAATAGTACTTTGGAGGAAATTGAGTTAAATGGATTATTTGGACAAGCTGATAGACACACTGAACATACATTAAGACATTTAAATTTTACAAATGATATAAATTTGACATCTGTTTTCGTAAAGGGATTTAATAAAGGATCCAAATGGGAACCATATCAATTTGTGTCCTCAATTTCTGATAATGAGGCGGAAACTGACAGTGAGAATGAAATTGAAGGTGAAAGAGATGAGGCGGAGGATGAAATTTTCAGAAATGCACAGGAACCCCATGAAATGGACGGATATGACGCAGCAGCAACTGATAGAGAATCACAAATTGCTTATCTTTTAAGCGAAATCGAAGGTTCTGATGTTGTCTTTAATGGGTTGTCAAAAACTGTATCGGGATTATTGTATCCTATTTTGATGCATCTTCGTAAGAAGTCTGTTAGGTTTAACAATATTAAGAAGTTGAGTTTAAGCAACTTTGAAATACCCAGAGAAAGATTTGAGGATGAAACTTCCATTCAATTACTTGTTAGAACAATATTCCCCAATATAGAGAATCATGTTGAATGCTTGGAACTTAGAAATATCATTAATACCACTTTCCATGATCCATACCGGAATAATGTCCCATATTTTCAAAGTGATATTCCTCCTTCTGCTATAAATATATTTTCAGATTCACCAAAACAGTTTCCTCGTTTGAAAAAAATTTTTTGTTGTTGTGGTATTGACGACAGTGATATTCAAGATATTCTTGAAGATGTTGACCGAGAAAACAAATATAATGTTTGCAAACTCCAACTATATGAATTGAAAAATCTATTGATTAAATCTCCATCGGTTGAAAACATAGTTGTTTATGCTTCAAGGCATGTTCATTTAAGGCATTTTTACAGGCTGATTAGTGAAACAACTTTCAGAGATAACTTGAAGAAACTAACTTTTGCTAAACCTGATCATTTTACTCAAGTTGCAAGAAAGATTTTGAATGCTAGAGTGTTTAAAAAATTCAATCATTTCAGAAATTTAAAAGTTTTGGATGATTATTATTTTGGTTGTTCTAAAAAATTGGTTGAACATTTTATTAAAACTTCAAGAGTTAATGATTTTGATGATAAAGATTCTATATCACATACAGAAGATACAGAATTTTTCAAAGAAGAATTTGAATATTTATTTGCAAATGATGTGAAGAAGTTTTTCAGAGTTTGTAAGAATTTACAAGAGTTTACTTATCATGGGTACACATTTGAAAGAAAGAATTTTTTAATATGATGGAATGAAAGACGTACTAAAGAATCATTGAGATGTAGAATTCAACGTATAAAATTAATCATGAAATCTGTAACTTTCTTTGTTGGCTGTACAATTCCAATCCCTAAAAGTTGTCCAAATGTCCAACTTCAGCATTACAGAATATTCCCATCAAAGAACGGCTAATAAGATTGAAATAATCACCCCCTATTTCCAAAGTCTACTCATGATAATTTGCAAGTATGGGTCCACCTAGACAGGTAGTTTATCCGTTGGTCTTTCCTTTTGTTGGGCTACACCCAGTTCTACGTTACACCCAATGTTAATCCGGGATGACTATTCCATGGAAACCATGATCATGAGCTATCAGCCACTGTTAATTCTTAATGGCTCATAAACAGATGCTTTTGAGCTGCAAATCTCCAGATTTCAGCTCTTTAGTCACTTCAAATTCGATATCATGACTTTTCTGCATCCTTCGGATTTAGCTGGACTTAACTCTGAGCTTTAGAAAAGTGGAATAGCGTAGCAACTGCTATTAAACTCTCCTCAATGTGATTAATCTTGACCAATAATAATTCCATAAGTATTTTAAAGCCCCTTGGAAATTTGAATCATTGAAAATTGGTTGTTTTGTGTTGAATTGCTATAAAAGTTTGTTGTGAATTCTCCTCCAACGCTTTTCTTTTTCCAAAAAAAACTGGAGATAATTCAACACAAAACAACCAATTTTCAATGATTCAGAACGAAAAACAGGTGAATAATCAGGAGAAAGCATCAAAGTGTGGAACGAGTGATTTTAATAAACAAGTGACCATTTAATCAAGGGGTTGAGTGTTTGAAAAAAGTATAAATACCATGGTTTAGCAAGGTTATTGAAACCATTATTCTTTTGTACTCATCAGTGTATTCAAACACAAGTTACAACAACTACAACTACAAACAACTCAATCTACAATGGCTAAGAAAGATAAACAACAACAAAAAAAATCAAGACAATCAAATGGTAAATTACAGGAATTTGAAGATTTGGAATCATTTGAACAATTCTTGAAGGATGAAAAAGAAGATCATGAATATGCTAATGCTCATGCCCATATCAACTATATCCCACCATTCGTATTGGCTGCTTCTCATAATGATCCTGATAAAGTGAAGGATTCTCAAAATAGAAAAAACAAGAAATTTGTTAGACATTTACATCAACATGTTGAAAAACATTTATTAGCTGAAATCAAAGAGAAGTCTGGTTTACAACTCAATTTCAACAAACCTGAAACTATTGAAGATTTTGATACGATAACTTGGAAATATGTTGATGAGTCAAATCATGGTTTGGATGAAAATGATGAAAAATTCAAAGTTGAAGTTTTGATCAAGTGTAATTCTGAAAATGCTTATGTTGATGTTAACTATAACACTTTACCAATCAATGATGACTTGCAAGTGCATATATAACCATGGAACATATCCATGTAATAGATTTTCATCTATTTTGGTTGACTGGCTTCAATTATATTTATCTAGAGCTGGTCTGAATTAGCTTATTATTTTAATTATTTTTATACTTTATTATGAATTTATGTGCTACGTGATTATGATTATCAATTAAAACAACATTAATGTAGTTCAGTTATTAGCATGATCATCCCTATTTTTGATTGATTGCTTAATACAATATAGTTCATAGTAAACTTTATCAATATCATTCATATCTTGTGTTCTTTTCTTGAACTTATTCCTATAGGGCCTGATATGTGCAATCTTTCTCAAAGTTTGTGTCATCTCTTCCTTAACTAATCGAACCGAGTTCTCAGCATATTTATGAATGATTTCAGAATCTAGATCAATATATCTGGATGGAAATGCTTTGAAAAGCATTTCATTTCTCTCCTTTATGATATTATTAAACCCCCTAAGATCCATCGCTTTGTATAAAATACCAAGAGCTCTCCCGTGTGCCATGACCAGTGCCATTTTATCAAGTTTAACATATGATGCTAAGTGGCATTGAACTTTGTAATAAACAATTTAAAATTTGGCTCATCATCTTCAACTAAAACCAATGTTGATGTCCATTGGATAAAGTGCCTTACAAAATCAGAAATATGATCATTATCCATCCTCTCATATGTATTACCTTCAAATTTTTGACTAATTATCTCATTGGAATATTTCAGCCTGATTGAATTTGAAGGCTCCTTGGTCTTTTGATCATTCACTTCAAGTTGATAAATCTGTTTAACCTTATTATAGAATTTAGCCCTAAAATTCTTAGCAAGACCTGATTCTTTATAACGACAGAGTGCAGAGAGAAAACCAATAAACACAAATGGCTTTTCCACACTTGAATCATTCATATTACTTGTATCATCTTCATTAATTATGGCATTCAATATGAGTAAATCCCATTTAAACTTTTGATTCTTTACGATCAAATATGTCTGGTCATTTATAACTTGTTTGAAAGCAAGGCTGTAAATCTCACTATACGTATATGACCCTTTGTTTGAATTCTCTGATCTTTTAACACGTACTGGAGGCATTCTTCATATAAGTTCATTACAATGGTTTGTTTATGTTTGTTTATACGTTTGTTTACATTTTTTCAAATCGCGCTATTGAAGTTTTGAAATTCTTTGACTGGTACACTAATCCACAAATATTTGGTACTCAACCTTCAACTCAGGGAGGAAAAAGTTTGCAGGATTCAAGATTCAAAATGGTGGTGGAATAGAATTTGAAATCATCATTTTTTGGTGTTAAATTGCGTGGTTGATGATGTGGAAACGTTCAAATGATGACTTCTATAAGGATTTCCAACTATATCATTACATTCCCACTTTAGTTGGTGGTATCATATTCACAGTGATCTTTGGGATCCTATTAATCATCTTCATTGTGAAGCTCATAATAAGCTCAACCAAGGCAACAAACCTCAAGCAAAGATCAGTGGAAAACCAGGCTTTACAAGATTTGGAAGATGTTGATAAAGATCAAACGTCACTCAATGAAGTTGGTCTTGGGAAATTAAACAACAAGAATGTCAAAAAATTTATATTTGGTTCATTTGCTCCAATGATTGTTGGTTTAGCCTTTGAGGTTGTTGGCTATATATGTAGATGCCTTGGTCATTACAATAAAGAATCATTAGGCCCATATGTTATTCAATCTGTTTTTCTACTAGTGGCTCCTTCATTAATCGCTGCAACTATCTATATGATCTTTGGTAGATTATTGATATTGTTGGATGCTGAAAAAAGTTCATTCATACCAGTTAGGTTCTTGACAAGTTTTTTCGTTTGTGGTGATGTGCTAAGCTTTCTATTACAAGCTGCAGGTGGTGGATTAATGGCTAAGGCTGATTTTGCTGATACAGGTTCCAAGATTGTTGTTGGTGGATTGGTTGTTCAAATTGTGTTTTTTGGATTCTTTTTGATTAGTGAGTTATACTTTACCATTAGAATTAGATCACATCCAACTTCAATATCTCAATTACTAAGAGAATCAAATGAAAGATCCGGAGTTTCAGCTAAGTTGGTAAATTGGAGAATGCTGAATATTTCCTTGATATTAGCTTCAATTTTGATTATGATGAGATGTATTGTTAGATTGGTGGAATTTGCTCAAGGCTTTACTGGATATATTATGACACATGAAGTTTTCATCTATGTTTTTGATGGATTATTGATGATGTTTGCATGCGTTATCGTTCTGTTGTCACAACCTGAGTTGGTCCTAGCAGAATTGACTAGCCATGTTTGATAAAAGTCTTTCAAAGGCTCGGATTTATTCGTTTTCTTCTTCGGAGCTTATATGTTGAACTAACTTGTGTATTATTCGACCCCATAATATACAACAAACAACTAAAAACATGTAGGATACATGAATGAATGTTCAATAAATAAAAAAATACTCATTAGAGGTCTTAAATAGCTCTAAATGGGGCTCAAAAACAGCAAAAAAAGAGTTTTGAGCGGTACGGGAATCGAACCCATGCCTAGTGCTTGGAAGGCACCTATTCTACCACTGAACTAACCGCCCTAACTTCAAAAATTTCAATTTTTATGGGTCAGTAGAATTTGTAAAATTGGTAAGGGACACACCACCAAAATAGCGAAAATTTCCCAAAAGCTCAATTCTTATATGGATGATCAAGTTTTTTAATTGACTCCATAAACTATTTAAAAGGCGTATTCTGATTCAATCCTTTCTCAAATCAATTGAAACTATACTCAAGTCCAAAGATGTCAGCTCCTTGTATTTTCTGTAAAATCATCAAAGGTAAGCATTGGGAAAATATCACCAGAGTACTTCTTTGAACTCCGTGATTTAAACAATAGATCTTGAAACAAAAACACTAACCACTTCTTTCCAAAGGTGAAATCCCATCATTCAAATTATTTGAAACTGAACTGACTTATTCATTCTTGGATATCCAACCAACAGCCAAAGGTCATGCTTTAGTCATCCCAAAAGAACATGGTGGAAAATTACACAATTTATCAGATGAATCATTAGCAGATTTATTACCAATGGCTAAAAAAATTGCTAAATTGTTAGATGTCACCAATGATGGCCCAGAAGGTGTTGGTTATAACATCTTACAAAACAATGGTAGAATTGCTCATCAAGAAGTTGATCATGTTCATTTCCATGTCATTCCAAAAGTTGATAAAGAAACTGGTTTAGGTGTTGGCTGGCCAGCTCAAGCTACTGATTTTGAAGCTCTTGGTAAATTACACAAGGAATTGTTGGCTAAGTTGGAAAGTGGTAAATTTTAGTGCTTTTATTCTGAACAAAAAATCTTATGTTATGTCTATTTATGCAGATTTAGTTATGTAGTAAACAACATAACCTCGTTGTAAATCTTCAATTAAACTTGATTCCTCATACTTGTAGACTTTCAGTCCCCTTTTGAGCAATTGTTCAACGAAATATTCAATGTTTTCTGGTAATCTCAATTGTAAACCTATCAAGACTCTTGTTGACGGACCAGCTAATTTATCAATTGCATCAACAAGATACGGAACCAAATAATCATTATATACAATATCACAACCAATTATGAAATCAGGTTCTTTTGGATTCAATTCTTTAATTTCATACAATCCTTGTTCTATATTTTCCCAATCATAAACACACGCATCAATTTTGGGCACAATTTGCTTCTTTTTAGGTTTCATATCACATTCAATAGTTGAACTTTGGAAAATGGGCACGTTATTTGATATGTTTTTCTTCAACAGTTTGATTAAATGATATTGATCTGTCGCTATCCAATGTTGTGTCTTGAGACCAATTGTAGAACTTAATAACCCTGTAACACCGGCCCCTAATTCAACAACATATTTATCTTTGAAGTCGTGTAATTGCTTTGTTTGAATCCATTTCACAAATGGAATTGAAACTCTCCATAAAACAAACCCTGTTGAACTGTTACTTGTGTTTAGGTTCGAAATTGATTGTTCAAATTGATAATCTGAATCTGAGATACTGATTTGTAATTGATCCTTTTTCGAAACTATTCCAAGATCTTGATTCTCTGAAGGTGCTGAGTCAACATAAAGATCATAAATATGCGTTGAAACATCATCTAAAGTAATCTCTTCGAGGAAGTTGGGTATTTTTGACATCTTGTTGATGTTTTTGGGGTAGTGTTTTTAATTTTTTCAACAAAAAAAATCTCGGGCATACATAAATCTGGAACGAAATATTAAAAGTCATTAATTAAACACATTTTCTTTTTTTCTATAAAGGAAACTAAATAAGTTTCTTGGATAACAAGATTTCAGCAATCAAGATACCGGCACCAGCAGCACCAATGATGGTATTATGTGATAAGACAACCATTTTGAAATCTAATAATGGATCTTCTCTAATACGACCAACAGACACACCATAACCAGCATCTCTATCACGGTCTAATCTTGGTTGTGGACGATCAGCTTCTTCTAAAACATGAATGGTTTGTTTTGGAGCTGAATGACAACCTAATTTGTAAGCATCACAAACGTAATCACGTAAAACTTGTTTAACTTGTTCAACTGATGGAGCTGGTCTATTTTTAAATCTTAATGAAATACATTCAGTGTGACCATCAGAAACTGCAACACGATTACATTGAGCAGAAACTTTTATTTCTTCAGGACTTAATAATTCAACACCAGTTTGATCTTTGTTTAATGGAGCTAAGATTTTTTTGGTTTCCCATTCAATTTTTTCTTCTTCACCACTAATATACGGAACAATGTTATCTAGGACATCAATACCTGAAACACCTGGTGAAAAACCAGCACCTGAAATAGCTTGTAAAGTGGTTGCAGTTAAAGCATCAATTGGACCAAAAGCATCAACTAATGGTTTCAAAGGTGCAACTAAACCAGCTGTAGAACAATTTGAAATACATGCAATGAAACCTGGACGTTTTTCACCAGCTTCTTCGGCTTTCTTTAATTTGCTTTCAATAATAGATAAATGATCAGTGTTAACAATTGGAACAATTAATGGAACATCTGGTTCTCTTCTATAATTTTTAGCATTTGAAACAACAGCCAAACCAGCTTCAACAAATGCTTTTTCAATTGGACCTGCATAATCAGAATCTAAACCTGAAAAGACAACATCACAATCTTTGAAAGCTTCAACAGTACATTCTGAAACTGGGATAGATTTAGCACTTTCTGGTAATAATGAAGTTTGTTTCCATGTAACAGCTTCTGAATATGGTTTACCAGCTGATCTTGAAGAAGCACCTAAAACTTCGATTTTAAAATCTGGATGATCTGATAATAATAGGATAAAACGTTGACCGACTGAACCAGTGGCACCTAAAACACCAGCTTTCTTTGTTGGAGCCATTTTTTATTTACCTTTTGTAGTTTATAACAAGCGAATTGTAAAAGAATTAGATCTGATGAATGCTCGAAAGTTAAATATTCTGACACCGTCGTGAGTCAAAAAGAAAAAAATAAAAAAAGATCAGATGACGTATTCCGAGGTGCATTTAGGTCACGTGAAGCGATGAGCCGGAATTAGAATTATAGTAGAATCTACAATTTAAAGCTAATTTATTCATACAAAGATGGTATTAATGTACATGGTGTTTAATAAAATTAATTGATCTTATTGTTTTTCAAGTTTAGCTCTTTTTTCAGCCTTTCTCTTTTCCTTTTTCAAACGTTTTCTTTCTTCTTTACTAATTTTAGAGTCATTAACTTCAACACTTTCTTGTTCTTGTTCTTGAGGTATGCTTTCAGGTTCTTCTTGAGTGGCTTCAGCTTCAGTGTTGGTTTGTACAGGTTCATCATCATCAAATTTCATGTGTTTCTTTGGGGTAGCTGTTGTAGTGATTGTGTTGGTTGTTGTTGAAGTGGTATTATTGGTTTCTAAAGGAGGTAGACCACGTAGATCTCTTTGGATTCTCTTCAATTGTGATACTGAGGCACCTGTGTTGCTAGAATTTGTTGTGTTATCCAATAGGTTTTGGCTTGATCTTGTTTCTTCATTATCTATGAATTTGGTCAATAGTCTTTCAGTTTCTTGTTTTGAAAGAGCTTTTGATGCTTGAATATGGAAAGTGACAGGTGTATTCACCACTGATGGTGCTATTCTCTTGCTCTTGACTTGTGACATCTTAATCTATGGCTTTATCTTCATCCAAATGAATCCCAATTGTTACTGGTGTTTAACGTGAAATAAAAAAAATTTGACATTATTAAAAAAATCTGGAAATTTACCCTGCAAATCGGCATTGAAAATTTCGATCGTGAAAAATGAACATTAAACTGTTGCAAAGTATAATAGCCAAAAGTTCATCGTCATTCATTCATTTAGACATGCTATTCAATAGATTGGCCCTTTCTTCCCAGATAATAAGAAGCCCAACAATGTTGGTGAGGTGAGTACTCTTTTTTTTCCTGTGTGCGTTATTGGTTGTTTTGTAACTAACTCGAAAATCAGACCAACAACTCGTCTATTCTCAACATTAAGACCAGTGTCTCCAATGACTGCTTTACGTTCATCCACAAGATTACCACAACTAGAAAACCCTACATCATCACCAATACTATCATCAGTCTCTGCATTATCACCAGCATCTACATCTATCTTTTCAAACATATTTGGTGGTCAACGTCGTTGGAAATCAAGAGGTAACACTTTCCAACCAAACACATTGAAACGTAAAAGAAGAGTTGGTTTCTTGGCTAGAATGAGAGACAGAAATGGCCGTAAAGTTGTTGCTAGACGTAGAGCTAAAGGAAGATGGTACTTGACATATTAAGGGAATATATTTGCAACAAGTTTTTTAAAAGGTAAATAGTGGTGAATTATTGTATATAAATGAATTTAATGGGTTACATAAAACGAAAAATTAGATTTTAAATTGTAGAGAAAGTGATCTTTTTGCATGGGTTTGCTATATAAAATTGTGGAGAATTCATCGTTTTTTTCTCAAAATTTTAGATCAAGATTATGATACTGTGTCCCGAAACCAACTTTTTTTCCAATTTTTTCAAAATTGGTGAAAAAAAATCAGCATCGAGGAAAAGGTTGAATTGAAACTGAATATTGATCAGTTATTCTACAATCTTCTCAGATGCTGTCTTCGAATTTTTTCAGAAAGAACGTAATAAGAATATCGTCTCCTATTAGAGCTTTCAGTTCTTCTAGCATAGCGAGAGCTGATGAATATGCCAGATCCGCTGAACAAAAACAAAGAGCTCAAGAACGTGAATTGACTAAAAAGAATGAACAAAGAAAATTATCTCGTCGTCGTGCTTTAGCTCGTGAGCCTGCTGATAAATCACCATACTACCATGATATACATACAGCTTTGAGATATCTTAGAGCATCAGAAGTTGGAAGAAGTCCTTCAGAAGCTGTCATAACCGTCACTTCAACACTCATAGCTGAAAGAGGTAATGCTAAATTAGCAGGTTCAGTTAATTTTCCAAAACCTATGAAAGACAGTAAAACATTATTCTTTACAACAGATGAATCCCAAGCAGCTGCTGCCAAAAATGCTGGTGTCACATTAGTTGGTGGTCCAGAATTAATAGAACAAATTAAACAAGGTGAACTAGATTTGAGTTTTGATAGAGCTTTTGCTACACCAGAAATTGCTTCTCAATTAGCACCAATTGCTAGACAATTGGGTCCAAAAGGTTTGATGCCAAGTGCAAAACGTGGTACTGTTGTTGAAGATATCGCAAGTACTATAAGTGAAGTTTCAGGTAGTATTCCATTCAGACAAAAAGGTGAAAATTTATCAATTGCAGTTGGTAGAGCTAATTTCACTGATAGGGAAATCATGTTGAATATTATTGCAGCTTCAAGAGCATTTAGAGAAGCTATTCAAACCCAAAAGACTAAGAAGAAAGCCTTACTTGGTCACACAACTATAACATCTACACACGGTCCAGGTATTCTCATTGATTTCAAATAGAGAGATAATTTGTAAATATTAAAGGGAGAATGAAGAGATTAGGATGGTTTCATACTTGATTTTAGGATCTGTACATATATAAAATTCAACATTATAGTCATTTAGATGAGGTTGTAGGTGTTGCCAAATGAAGGCTTACGGAGGGCTTATAAACTTGAAATTCCTTATAACTTGGGATGTTCAATACGTTTACTTATTATATACGATATTATGATATCTTCAAAATGTCATAATCTAAATATCGTTCACTGTTCAGCTCAATGATGCGATTTTGTACATTGCCTTTATGGGGCTCACGAAAACAAAAAAAAAACTGTTTTCAAGATCTCTTGTTGCCTAGAAACACAACCTAAACAATAAACACCAATCTGAAATGAAAACAGTTGTGAAATGCTTTATTTCAACTTATTCCTAATTATTGGAGTCTTGCTGAGAGTTTCAGCTGCAGAGTTCAACCTAACAATTCCAATCTATTTTGACATCCCCAAACATTTAAGCTTTCTAGTACCAAAAACACAACAATCACTAGACACGAAATTAGCACATTATGACTTCAAAATCAACTACAAAACACATTGCTTGCTAGGTAAAGGGCCATCATATACAGTGAAGCTTGACTATGCTAAAGATGAATCCTATTTTATTTCACCATATGGTAAAACTATCATTGTTTATCAAACTGACCTTTTGATTGCTCATAATAAAATACCTGAATTCATAGCCCAATTAATCGTGGAATTCGTGTTGAAGTATGAAGTTGAATATTTTGATAAAAAAACCATAAATGATGCTGACAATGTTGGTATAGAATTGGCTCCAAGTTATGATGTAAAGATCTTGATTAAGGCACCTGTTGATTTCCAATGGAATTATGAGTTATTCCAATACTTGTTTCAACCGGTCTTGAATGAATTACAAGATCTGATCTATTTGAATGTGATTTTTGATTATGTTTACGAAGAGGATAACACAGTGTTACATTTGGAGGATATTGAATCGATCTTGGATTATGAGAAACTGACAATTTTGGTTCATTTAAGTTCTAAGGAGCAAAAGATATCAGGAATAGATTCAAACAATATTATAATTCCTAAAAAAGGTGCCGTACAATTAGCTAGAGTTGAGGAGACTTTAAGTGAAATGCAACAAATTGAAATCTTGGAAGTTTTGACAGGTCAATTGTTTAGATTACTAGGCATGGAACCAACAGAACCAAAATCTCCATTCATTAGAATTGATTTCATGATTAGAAAACAGGTTTACATCAATTACCAGAAACTCAATGATCAACAGCAAGCTGAAATTGATAAACTACTAGAGCAGTCGAAATGGGGCGATGCACTACGTCAAAGTTGGTCCTTTTTGATATCATAAGTTGTGAGATTCATTAAAATTCAACCTCTTTTCTTTTTTGGTTTTGATTTATCATCAAAAGAGATCCATTGCTGGTTCAACCCGTATTTCTTGGTCAACAACTCAATAACAACTTTACTATGAGGTCCTTGAACAGTAACTTCTGTTAATTTAGGATTTTGAACATTTTGACCAATGGTACTTGAACCTGAACACTTAACTTTCAATTCACCTGCCAATTCTTCAGCATTGATACCAAATGCTTCAAAATTGAAAGTTCTAGTGACAACTTTACGTCCAATTTTGGTTTCCGTTATGATCTTTACTTGTGGCACTTGACCCCTAACAGGCTCTCTATGAATTTGATCTTCTTTTGGGAGATTTGGATTCTCTAGTTGATAGTATTCAGTGAATTTGTTCAAGAATGGAGTCAACAATTTATCCCTTCCTTGGACTTTATCACCTGGAATAATGCTTGATAAATTATCATCTAACAAGATGGTCTTTTTGTTTCTTTCATTGACCAATGAATGTTTTGCAATGTATTTGTTTAAAATCTCTTTAACTTCATTGGCAGAATACATGTTTGCAAACATAAAATCCAGATCATTAAATATTGGTCTCAGCGGAGCATTTGGTTTGTAGAATTTGTGAGCAATTAATGTGTTATTGTCTTTTAATTTTGACGCAGGCTGAGCACCTTGAGGTTTAGATTTCTTGACCTTGTATGGAACAAAGTTTTTCAATTCATCGTTTGTTTCTTTGGTAGCAACTGAAACAACTGTTAAATCATCACCTTTACCTTTCACTTTCAATAGTCCTTCCTTTTCCATGGCCTTCAAGAATTTGGCACTCTTTTTCCATGACGTCTTTTTGATTTGAATTTGATTGAAATCTGATGCAAGATTTCCAATAATGTGATTCATGAAGATAGAAGTTGGCATAGGTGGCTTCACATTATCTTGAGTTAATGTCTGTAGTAATGATCTTTTGAAAAAATGATCAATATCTTCGACGCTAAGAGTATCAACAACATTTGCTAATTCATTAACTTCATTAGATTCTTTAGGTTCTTCGACAGATTCTTGAGCTGGCTCTATATCAGTCGCAACGTTTTGAGGTTCAGCCACCTCTTCAATATTGTCTGCTTCTCCTTGATCAGCATCATCATTAGTTTCCTCTTTGAACTTCACTTCTAATGATGGCTCTTTTGGCGCTTTAATCTTTAATTTCGCAATTTTGAAAAGCATATCTTCATTACTATGGTAAACATCAACTGCAACACCAGTTGTTCCAACAACTTTGGTAATCTGGCCCAAGTTTAAGTTTGATCTACCAACAGCTTTAACAACTAATGGATCCTTAGTATCAGCAATGGCGACAATGCTTCCCTTTTTGATTGATTCAGGGAATGGTGGTGCAGTACCAGGCAACATTAAGTCTGCTCCACCTTCAAGAACTTCAACGACATGTGGATGGGTATGGACAATTGGTAGTATGAAAGGTGCGTTCCATAACGTATAGACAGTTGGAATTAGCTCACTGTCTTTGGTCTTGAACCAAACCGGCGTTTGATGTTCATCTGTATAAATGGTTCCTGAATATCCCTTCGGGCTCTTGAAAGTAGTTTGCTTGATTATTGGGGGCAAGATCTTTTCTTCTGACTCTTTAGCTAGCCCTTGTGGCAAATTGTATTCTTTGATGATGGACCCTAGCATACGTCTTCGCTCTGAAGATTTCAGATTTGACAATGCTTTAATCTGTCAAAATTATTAGTAAAATGTCTCTAAAAGTCTATCAAAATATAGTTTATGGGTCTTAACTCACTTGAGGGTCTTTTCTAAACATTTTTCACGCTTCGAATATACCTTTCCACTCTCCAATGGCAAAAATTGCTGAAGTTGTTCATTTCTTCGGTCGATGCCTAAAGAAAAAAATATACGTCAAATTCGCGGTGGAAAAAGATCAACAAATCGAAAAAACATAAACAAAAACACTTCAGAAGACGCTTTGTTTAAAGAAGTTTGAGGCTATTAAAAATTTTGATTGATCCTATTGGAATGGCTGAATTTGAATATGCTGACTCTACTCAGCCCTTTCCCTTGGTTTTGAATGCTCCGATTGATGGGCTGGCGTATTCTTGGTGTCCAACCATGGACTTGGTAGCATTTACCGCTAACAATGGTAAGAACGTTTGGGTTCATAGAATGAATGGGTACAGAGTATGGGATATCAAGATCAATGAAGGTAGGGCGAAGGACTTGATTTGGAAGCCAGACGGAAAGCAATTTGCTGTGATCACAAGTAAAAACCAATGTCATATCTATGATTCAAATACAGCTAGATTATTATCCACAGTGGATCAATTCAAAGAGGGTTGTAATTTCGGTCAATGGATGTTATCAGAGATTGATGAAGGCTACCATAAGTTTACAGAATTGGTCGATACCGATGTGCTCAAATCACTACCAAAATTACCACCTTTACCAAACGCTACAAGTAATAATACATTCAGCACTAAAGTCGCCATTGAAGGAATGATCCATCAGCCCAATAAAAGTGGTGAGCTAGATTTGTTTTTATTATTCTCAGATAAGACACTAGACATCACACTTCATAACCTATTTACTGCAGGTCCGATAAACTTGATATCCAGCTCTAATGACGATGATGAAGAAATTGTTGGTCATATAGCTCAAGACATTCAATCTCATTACATTGTTACTTCTTCTTTCAGCACAATGAAGCTATACCTACGGCAATTCAAGTTTTCATTTGTCTCAGAGCTCAATTTTTTACAAGATATTGCACTATCAATTTCAAAAATCATTGCACTAAGTGGTTACATTAATGAGATTTTGATATTTCTAGCTCAAGAAATTAAAACTTATTTGGATGCTAATAGACGATATGTAGAGATTTTGAAAGAAAGTTTGGAGAAAATTGATGAAACCGTGGGTGATCAATTATATGATTCATTGTTAACAGGTATGATGAGTGAAGAGTTGAAAGATTGGTTGGAAAACACAATAGGTGAGAGAGGTATTGCTAGATGGACAAAGATTGGTGATACTGCATTTGACAACACTAGACGTACTGTTTTTTATCATTTGGTTCCTTCGTGTGAAAGATTGATTATACTACTCAATAATATCAAAGGTACCGCTAGTGCCTCATTTTCTGGAGATGAAGATTTTAAGCCAGATCTAATTAGTGCATGCATTGATTCTGTACAAAAATTTATGAAGCTCTTGTTTGAATGCACCATCAAGGTAAATAAAGAACAAGCTCTATTCAATTCATTTGTGGCTTGGATCAATTTTGTTTTGAGAGAATTGAAAGATGAGGAGCCAAATACAATCTACAAAACGTCAGATGTTTCAGAGTTTATCAATTCACATTTAGAAAGATCATCTTTAATGATGTTTATTCCAAACATGAGAAGACACTATAATGAAATCAAGATAACCTCGTCAGATCTATTTGATTCAATTAAAGGATTTATAAAGAAATCCATCATTCCAAGTGAAAGAAAAATTGAGTTAGGAATGATTACAGAAAAGCAAAAATTAATGTTTGATCACGAAAGTCTTTACATTTTATCATATACAAACTGCACTTTAAATATACACAAGTTTAACACCATAGCTGATCAGTTGAAATCCGTGCATGTTTTGATGGATGATGATATTTCTGATATCCAAGTTTCTGATGGTGATGATGAGGTATTTGTGGTTACTGGTGATGAAGTTATAAGCTTTGGGTTTTATGACTTATTTGGTTCAACGAATCAAACAAGCTTCAAAAAAAGTGATTTGAAGCTATTGAAGAGTAAGAATTTTGCTCCGTTAAAGCCCAAACATATTGCTATCAAGAGTCAAAGAGACATATGGTGCATAATATTTGACGATTTGAAAAAATGTTTGATTTGTTCTTTGAAAAGCAAGCCAAATACTTCAGCAGATACTGATGATATAGATACTGAAACTATGGTTTGATGCTCACCGACTAGTGTTTAGTTGCATCAATTTCAACTGGCTGAATATATGCATATTTATTGAGCATTATGTTAATATCGTTATCAACGGTGTAAGTCCTTTTAACAAACCTTTTGTACTGCAATATCAACTGCTCATTCCACTCTTTATCTTCTGAAAGCTTTGTCGATTTACCTTCGACCATTGACGTTAAATAATTTGAATCATCAATCCGAATTGGAGGATATAGTTGAAATATACCTCTTATATATGTCAATTTTTTTTGAGTCAAGTTTTTCTTTCTGAACTCTGGAATATCTTCACCCAAAAGGGTTGCTGGTGTTTGTACAATAGGCGATGCCAATTTTCTTGTATGAAAGTATTTGTGACTGGATAAAAAATTCATGTGTTTGATGACTTGGCGCACCATTATATCCATTTGCTCTAATTTTTGTTCATTATCAGGAAGTTCAAATTCAAGTGGAAGTATCTCTTCTTTTTCCTCTGCTTCTTCCACAGCATCATTCGTTGTCCTTTTCCCCACTACTTTAGGGTTTTTGGAAAGACGTGAATTGATAACAATTCCTCCCTTGGTTTTTAGTTCGCTACTTTTTATTGCAAACTTTTTCTCTTCATTATTCTTTTGTAAATTTCCTGTTAGCAGTTCCATGACAGAAGGAAGTTGACGTTCTTCCCTCGGTAGCTTTAATGAATTAAGACGAGTGTTAGATTTTGCTTGCACATAAAGACTATCCTTCTCATTTGTATACCTTGTCACTAAACTTTCCAACAACCACCTATCAATATGATTCTTCATGAAATAATTAATATGTCTATTTTCAGAATATCCTTTATCTAGATAATATCTGGCGAGGATTGGATGCAATGATTTTTTCTGGTGATTTTTCACATTATCAACCATGGTCTCCAGCTGCAGTAATTTTTCATCTTCTGGGTTTTTGGTGCCTATTTTAACAGCATCTTTGATTAAACGGTCCTTTGTTCTTGTATCTATTTCCAGGTGCTGTATTTTATTCCAAAATGTTGAGCTAAGACCCTGAGGAACTTTGAATGGGGCTTTCATCACTCAAATTACCCTTTGATAACACCTGAAACCTTCAGCTCAACTTAATAGAATTTTCAAAAAGAGCACCAAAAAGTTGTTGATGGAGTGCGCAAACCACAAGTTCTGACAGAATATCCTCTACTGTGTGTATATAAGGTAATTCCGATGTTCTATTAATATACATATAATGTTACAATTAGTGGATTCTTGATTCTTCTTATAGTTGATGTGAAATGTTGAGTATTGATGAATTGTGCATAATTGGTTATTCTGGTTATGTAATACCTGACATTCCCCCCTTCATTTCTGAGTATTTATTGAATGTAATAATATTAAATATGATGAAACTTGATTTGGAACTATATTGTGTTGTCTTTTGTTAACCGGTGTTCAATTGGTTGTGATTGAATATGAAAGAATGAGTGAAGTACCTATAGATTTAAAAAGAAATGATTCTTGAATGGTGTGGAGGTTAATGTCTTTTGAATTTCAGGACCTGAGTATTTCTTGGTGAGAAAATCTGAGCAGTTTGAGATACCTGAA